ACATGCACTGTGAGCTGTAAGGTCTTATATAGACAGGTGTGTGCCTTTCCTAATCAAGTCCAATCAGTTTAATTAAACACAGCTGGACTCCAATGAAGGAGTAGAACCATCTCAAGGAGGATCAGAAGAAATGGACAGCATGTGAGTTAAATATGAGTGTCACAGCAAAGGGTCTGAATACTTATGACCATGTGATATTTCAGTTTTTCTTTTTTAATAAATTTGCAAAAATTTCTACATTTCTGTTTTTTTCTGTCAAGATGGGGTGCTGAGTGTACATTAATGAGAAATAAAATGAACTTTTTTGATTTTAGTAAATGGCTGCAATGAAACAAAGAGTGAAAAATTTAAAGGGTTCTGAATACTTTCCGTACCCACTGTATAAACCTACCGAGGCAGAGGTGCACTCGGTGGGTACTTCTTCGTTGAGGCGGTGAGTATACAGGATGTGGTTTTGTCCCACTGAACTGAAGGTGCAGCTGTGAGTATTGCTAATAACACAGCAGGAACACAGAAGGCAGAAAGAGTGTTAATGTCATTCTCTGTCGTGCAGCTTTCTAAGAGACAACATTGTTCAAAAATAAACTTGTAAGGAAATGGAAATGTTAGCAGTGGGACTTCAAAAGAGAATTGGTCCATTCCACTCTGTCCAATCACCACTACAATGTATACATCCCTCCAGGTGTAGTGTCCTGATTCTGTGCCTTGATGTGCCGTCGTGTGCAACGTGGCTTTTGTTGAGGCATGTTTAACTAAACGTATCCACAGTTTGAGGCACATAACTTGCATAAGTGGAGACATGCACCTACCACAACCAAACGCATATCAAAAGAAACTGGAGAAAGCCCTCCTGTTCGAAAACCAATTTAATGTGACAACAGGAGGGAAATAATATATACAGTATATACCCCCAATATATTATATAATATTAATATAAAGTTAAATATTAAGGCCTATTCTCAATCATACAGAATCAAAGCCAGCACGTCCTCTGCAGATTTACAGATACATATTTAACTTAAAAACAAACAATGAACAAATTTAAATACGCTAATATGTTGAGTTTGTTTCTTTCATTGTCTTACAAGTCAAAATTAACATTTAATTTGTACAATGACAACCAAAACAAAACTGTTGATGTGTGGAGAGAGCATAGACATAATTTAAGAAGTGGACATAGTCACCGTGACGTCACCCATTGGTTTGTGGACTGACGTTTTAAAGCTTCAAGTTCATCATTTTGGCTGTCGCCATTTAGTGGGTTTTTTTTTTAAATCAGAAGTGACACAAGAGGGTGGGCGCTTACATTAACTTTCATGACGTGAAAACACAGAGAAAAACTTAAAGTTATAAGATGAGAACACAGACAAATCTCAGACCGCATTGACTTATCTTCCCTTTATATTTACATTTTCATACTAACTTGTGTATAATTTGCTGGTGTGTAAAGGGATGTGTGTGAGGACAATGGTGACTGTTTCTAATGTCTTCATATTGCAGTTGAGTTTGAGCATATGAGTAAACAGGATGTGATGTAACTAGTATTAATCATTTGTTTTTCTCTTTTATTGTAGCCAGTTCAAGATGTTGAAGAATGCACCTGCCCAACATCTACATCACCAGGTATATTAATCTGTTGTAATGTTAGTAAAATCATGACTTAATCCTTCTGAATTAAAAATGCCTTCATTTGTTATTGGATTTTTAACTAGCCCAAAAATATTCACAGCATCATCAGCCTTATCAATGCAAGGACATTTCATTTTGAAAACATACTGAATTAGTTTGCTGTGAAATAACAGCAACAGTTTTTTAAAACATTTTGTAGGTGGAATAAATATTAGAGCAACAACTGCTTTACCCAAATGCACAACCAGAAAATTACACAATTTAATAATTTGACATAGTGAGCAATTTCACATTTCTCTCAGTTTCTTAGTGTCACACTTTCGCTAGTGTGACAGTCAGTGTCTATCTGTGAACTTATGGTGGATGTGTCCCTTTATGGGTCCTCTTAGTGTCCCCACTGGGCACAGAGGTGTCTAATAAAGTCTTTCTTCAAAAGGCAGACATTGAAATTCCACAGTTTCTATCCTCTTTAAAAGAAATACTTACTTCTGCCAGCTATAAGCAAATGAAGACAACAGTACTGAGCCCTCCAATCCATTCTTGTTCATGTAGACACACGGAAGGCGTGTTTAACAGCGTTACCAGGTGCCTATTTTCAGGCTGGCAGACCCATTACAGCTGGCAGATATCTTTTCTTTCTTTCACTAATGTCAGTCTGCGTTAAATACATGGAGGAGGAGTTGATCATTTTAGTGCAGGGCTACCCCGACTATTCCACCTCGTCACAACATCCGGTTGCAAGGTCGGCCAAACTGCAGTAAAGCTACTGTGAGTGATTGACAGGGCTGGAAATCCATTTATCTTTGTTCTGACTTTGTTTAGTTTAATCAGCGAGGCTTACTGCGGCATCATCGTCATCACATCGGGCAGGTTTTGGTTGCTTAGTAATGGCAGGAGCGCAACCTCCCCAAGCACCTTGGATAAAAGGATTAAAGTGGAAAGGCTAGCGCTATTGATGTGACAGCACCCTACACATGTTAACAGGAACAGTATAGTTAAAACTATATGTCTGATAGCTGACAATAGATACAGGTGGGAGACATGGGGGGGGGGACCACGAGGTCACAGGGACACCCAAAATGGCCATACTTTGCAATAGCCTTCAGGTGGCCGATAGTCTAAGTGACTGAATAAATGATTCAGAAATGAATGAAACTTTAGTTGAGATATTTATTCCATTTCAGATTTTGTGTCAGTATACTGTAATTTGCAATGTACACATTCTCTTGCGCTAACTTAATCTTCCTTGTCCGTCTCTGAGCTTAGACTACCCCAAAGAACTGCAGTTACTAAGCAGCCCCTGTGAAAAGTGCTGCTGCCCAGCACCTCCTCCCAAGATAAGTGACCTCATGAACGACAAAGATCTCCTGGACTTATTGCGGCTCAAGCTGGATCCGAATCACTGCACCATCAAAAACTGGAAGAACTTTGCAAGTCGCTGGGGGATGAGCTACGATGAACTGACCCTGCTGGAGCACCGGACCCAGGGCTCCTTGTCCCACAGCCCCACCCAGGAGTTCCTGCTGCGCTACAACCAGAAGACGGTCACTGAGCTCACCGAACTTTGCCGCATCTACCAGCGCATCGATGTGCTACGACTGCTGCAGAGCTGGATAGAGAAAGACTGGCCGTCACGCTGGCAACAGGCTCATTAACTCCATGTATATTTTCCTTTGGTCAGGGTTGTACTTGTTAGGGATTTCTTCTACTACGTAAGCTTTTCATCGTTAGTAACTTTAGTAAGTGATCTTAAGAAAAAGATAAAACAATGACCAACAGACAGAATAGCACATACAAGACGTACAGCTGATTAACAGTTGTTGTTTTTTTCTTTTAGCCATGCTAGCCGCCTGGCTCTATGGCAATGTTGTTTTGTCTGATGGCCAATCTGTTGTTCTGTCGGTTGTTCCACCACTTTGGTCCCTGGTTATTTAACTGTTAGACAGAGCACACAAACATTTTGTACAAATATTCATGATTTTAATTACCTGAATTTCTCCATTTGGGATCAATAAAGGCTTATCTGGTCCCCAGGGCATGAATCCTATGACTTTGGGGAGCTCCTTACTTTACCTATAGCGCCATCAGCAGGTCAAGGTTTTCTCTTATCCAGTGTTATAGCTCAACATTCACTACATGGATTGGTACATATTTTTGTACATTCGTGGTTCCTAGATAGTGTATCCTAATGACTGGTGATCTCCTGACTAGCACAACCAAAAGGTTGACATTTATAGTTTTGAGCGTAATGTCATAAAAACTATTGGATGGTTTGCCAAGAAATTTGGTGCAGGCATTCATGTTCACCTCGAGATGAATTGCAATAAATTTGGGGATCCTCTGCTTTTTTCTGAAGCACCATCATCAAATTTGAATTGCTCTAATACTCTGACAAATTTTTTGCTGAAGTCAAACTCCCATCAGCCTCAGCTGTACTTTGTGTTTAGTGATATTAGCAAATATTAGCATTCTAACATGCCAATTTAAGATGGTAAACATATTAAAAATTATACCTGCTAAACATTGGCATGTTAGCGTCTTCATCATGTGCATGTTAGCATTTAGATCATTTATTCATAGAATCAGAATCAGAACCGTTTATTGCCATGGTATGTTGAACATACAAGGAATTTGACATGACGGGAGGTGCATAACATTTAACAATCAACAACAATCAACACAGTGCAAAGTAGAAACATTAAAATTTACAGAAAGATATAAAATAAAGTAAAATATAAAATAAAGTGAAATATAAAATAAAGTGCACAAATGAACAGATAACAGGACTATAAACAAGTGAGATGTAAGTGTCGTGTAAAAGTGTAAAAGTTTCGAGTGTAATTAAATAAGAACCTAGAGTGACCGGTAGGAAATTGTCCTGGGGATGAGAGAGTCAGTGGGGGTCCCGGGCTCTGTTAATGAGCCTGACTAGAGATGGGAAGAAACTGTTCTTGTGGTGTGAGGTCTTGGTCCTGATGGACCTCAGCCTCCTGCCAGATGGAAGGGACATGAATAGTTTGTTTCCAGGGTGAGAGGGGTCGCTTACAATCTTTCTTGCTCGCTTCAGGGTCCTTGAAGCGAACAGGTCCTGGAGGGAGGGCAGATTGCAGCCAATCACCCTCTCAGCAGAGCGAATGATGCGCTGCAGCTTGCCCTTGTCCTTGGCTGTGGCTGCAGCGTACCAGACTGTGATGGAGGAGCAGAGGATGGACTCAATGATGGCTGTGTAGAAGTACCATCTCCACTGTCTTTAGAGCGTTGAGCTCTAAGTTATTCAGACCGCACCAGGTCACCAGATCGTCAGTCTCCCACCTATAGGCGGACTCATCCCCACCAGAGATGAGTCCAATGCGGGTGGTGTCATCCGCGAACTTCAGGAGCTTGACGGACTGGTGACTGGAGGTGCAGCTGTTCGTGTACAGGGAGAAGAGACGAGGGGAAAGAACGCAGCCTTGGGGGGAGCCGGTGCTGATGGTCCGAGAGGCTGAGACGTGCTTTCCCAGCTTCACGCGCTGCTTCCTGTCAGACAGGAAGTCTGTGATCCACTTGCAGGTGGAGTCGGGCATGTGCAGCGGGGAGAGCTTGTCATGCAGCAAAGACAGGATGATGGTGTTAAAGGCAGAGCTGAAGTCCACAAACAGGATCCTGGCGTCGGTTCCTGGGGAGTCCAGATGCTGGAGGATCAAATGAAGGGCCAAGTTGACTGTGTCGTCTACAGACCTGTTGGCTCTGTAGGCGAACTGCAGGGGGTCCAGGAGTGGGTCGGTGAAGGTTTTTAGGTGGGACAGGACAAGGCGCTCAAAAGACTTCATAACCACAGAGGGGTACTGGGATGGGTGGTACAGAGGCATGAGCCCCTGCTGAGCTGGGGGAGGGGAACCTGATGGTCCGGGGCTGGTTGATGGAGTCAGGACTGTCCCATTGTCTATCAAAGCGACAGTAGAACTCATTCAGCTCGTCTGCCAGGCGGAGGTCATTCATGGAGTGGGGTGTTTTAGGTTTGTAATTGGTGATCTGTCTGAGACCTCTCCAGACAGAAGCAGAGTCACTTGCTGAGAGCTGGTGTTGCAGTTTCTCAGAGTACAGACATTTAGCGTTCCTCACCGCCTTACTAAACCTGTACTTTGACTCTTTATACAAGTCCTTGTCCCCACTCCTAAATGCCTGATCCTTGTGCAACCTTAGCTGTAACCCAGGGTTTGTCGTTGTTGTAACTCACCCTGGTGCTTGATGGAACACAGCTGTCCTCACAGAAGCTGATGTATGAAGTCACAGCCTCTGTGTACTCATCCAGACTGTTGGTAGCAGTCCTGAAAACATCCCAGTCTGTACAGTCCAAGCACGCCCGAAGATCCTCCATAGCTTCACTGGTCCACTGCTTGAATTTCCTCACCAGAGGTTTACAGAGCTTTAATTTCTGCCTGTATGCAGGAATCAGATGGACCATGACGTGGTCAGAGAGTCCCAGTGCAGCACGAGGGACGGCGTGATAGGCCCCGCTGATTGTGGTGTAGCAGTGATCTAGAATGTTCTCCTCTCTGGTTGGGCATTTAATGAACTGTCTGTATTTGGGGAGTTCATGACTGAGGTTTCCTTTGTTAAAGTCACCAAGGACAAAAACGAAAGAGTCTGGATTGGTCCGCTCCACACACCGTATCTGGTCGGCGAGCGCGCGCTGTGCTTCCTGCACGTTACCCTGCGGCGGAATGTAACCACCGACCAGTATGAATGAAGCGAACTCGCGGGGGGAGTAAAAGGGTTTACAGTTTATGATAAAATATTCCAGATCAGGAGAACAGTGCTGCAGAACCACTGTCACATCGTTACACCAGCCACTGATGGTATAAAAACAGATTCCTCCACCCCTCGATTTGCCGGAGAGCTCCGTGTCGCGATCCGCTCTGAACAGCTGGAAGCGATCCCGCTGGAGCGCCGAATGCGGTATCGATCCACAGAGCCAGGTCTCAGTGAAGCACAAAACGGAGGATGAAGAAAAGTCTCTGTCTTTCCCCACCAGTAGCTGAAGTTCGTCCAGTTTGTTGCACAGTGAGCGGACGTTGGAGAGAAATATGCCCGGCGGCGGTGTGCGAAATCCACGTGTGCGAAGACGCACGAGCGCGCCGGCCCGTTTCCCTCTCCTACAGCGCTTCACTGCATGAGTTAAGGTGAGCACACCTTTGACGAGAATGTCCAGTAATTCCACAGACGTTAACAGTTAATAGAGCCGTTAGTATGGCTGTAGACTCTTAGTCATATTAATGACTGTATATGTCTGGAAAGCAAACAAAGCCCAAAGTGTATGTCAGGGTATTTATTTTTTATATGTTGTTTTATATTTGTAATTAACACTCATGCTCATACAACATACGCCATGTTAGCAGGATATGTCACAACCTTTGAGTGATAATGGCATTATCTGTCTTGTATACCATGTTCTATTGTTGCATCCAGTGTGGCGCTGGCAGTGGAATGGAGCTAAGTGAACAATATCAGAGGAAGATTCTACTCACAACTATAATAATTATTTCATAGATATCTCCTTCATTTTGTCTAATCAAATTAGTTAAATTTGCAAACCAAAACTACAGTTAAAATATTTGCTCATCTCAATGTTATTTGTTATTCAGTTTTTTTCCAGTTTGAAGAAACAACAGAATTATATTTTTGTATTGCACCTGTTTTGTCAGTATGAAATAAACACACATGTCAAACTCTGTAAAAGCTTTAGTCATTTTCAAAGGAAAACTAAGAAACAACATCAACCTCAAAGGCAAATGTATGTTGAATTCATACACAGTTACAACAGGCCTTTTGTTTTGAATAAGGAATTATATTTTTATATTTTTTTAACTTATTTATCAGCAAAGCTTTATTTCTTGGAAAGAAATATGTAATAAGGTACTATTGGGAAAATAGAGATGGTGTTCAGTTGGTACACTTCCAATTGATGCTATTGCATCCTACAGAACATGTTATTCAGCATACAGTAGGTTAGCTGAAAATGTTGTTAAATAAGTAAGCATTCACATAATTTTTCCAATAATTAGTACCAATTTACATTTATTTTCAAGGGGATTTCCTAGAAATTTCTTAGATAAATACGGATTTGTAAATTAATAAGTTGTAAAGCATCTTATTTATAACATCCCGTTAGCTTCCTCATGTCTCTGTGTGTGTTTCCTGTGTTTCCTGTGTGTGTGTGTGTGTGTGTGTGTGTGTGTGTGTGTGCTTCCCCTGATTACACTCATCCTACTCACCTGCCCTGTCCACCCAGCTACCTTTAATCTCCTCATCACCCCACACATACTCTCCTGCTTTCCCTGTTCTGGTTGTCAGATCGTCCTTGTTTGTTCCCTGTCTGTTCGTTCTGTGCCTTCCTCGTGTTTGCTTGGTGTTCCAGAGTTCCCCTCTGATGTGTACCTTTGCCCTTCTTTTGTTTTTGGATATTTTTGCCCGCTCCGTTGGAGTCGCTTTAAGTTTGTTTTTGACCTTTTTTCAAGTAAAGATTCCTGAGTTTGAACTTCACCTCGTCTCTTGTGTCTTATCTGCGATTGAGTCCTGGATCTGCCCCTCGGCCTGACATTATTAATTTTCATAAATTAATTTACTTTGCATACAAACCAACAAATCATCAGTTTTATTATTAAAAAAATGTTGGGAAAGAATCACAGGCATGTTGAATCAGTTGAGTTATTTATTGAACAAAAATATCCACAAAAACATTCACCCAATTCTCTTATCAAGTAAAGATTTTTAAGGTAAAGTAATGCACTTCTTAGAAACTTAAACAGCTTAATGTGATCACATGCAATACTGAGGCAGTTATGTAATAAGTAACTTACTTCCAAATCAACAATGTTGGGGGAAAAAAATCTTATATAAATAACAAGAATATACAGTTTATAACATGTTTTTTCACTTTGCTACCCAACGTTCGATACTTACGTATCGATACAAGACGGATAGTGTAGCTGGTAGTGATGCGTGGGTCGACCCGCGGGTCGGGAGAGTTCGGGCCAAGCTTATTAGAAAATATCATGAGTTCAGGCTGGTGGGTATAAAAACTGAGAAAGGAGTGTTCTAAGTAAGGTATTAATAACTTAGAAAATAGTCTAAGTTATCTTCTTCCCCTCTCTTTCTCGCACTCTCAAACACAGACACACACCACAAACTGCAGTGCTCATGTCCGCTTGTCTCTGTCCTTGTCTCAGACCTCAGTCCTAACAATTGTGCTAGGCTACTATAATATATAAAGTTCCCGGTTTGCGGGTCAGGTAGGGCGGTGCAAATTGGCTCTCGTAACGGGTCCGATGGGTGCTGGTAATAAAGAACGCTGGCTGACCGACGCATTACTGGTAGCTATCATTACTTGCAGAAAACTGTGCAAGAGTAAATTAAACAGTTAATATATGTAATGGTCACAAACTAAGGCAAATAATTGGTTAAGTTACATGTATTTACAATGTTTCCGGGCTGAAGCTTTACTTATCAGGCAAGCCTAACAGGAATCTGTCAGCATCTCAATCCTTGATATTAAGGCCAAGCATATTGGAGAGGCTCAATGACAATTTTTCATTTTCATCTGATGGCGAACGTTCAGGGGCAACCAGGCCCAGTACAGACTCTGGCTTTTCCACTTTGAAAGTACCTCCTCTCACCAAAGAAGAATCTGCATCTGTAGAGGTGCTGACATCAAGTCTGGGGGCAGAGAGCTTCAGATCGTTATCTCTTTTCGCTTCAGTTGGTGAGTCGTTAGCTGAGTGTGTTTTTTCCTTTGCCTTTTTCAGTCTCTCCATGATGTCAATCTTTCCTCCTGTTTTTGTTGAAGCATTTACCATTGGCAAGCGGATCCCTTTGCTGACGACATAATCTTTTGCCTCTGTGTCAAGTTTTGATAAGCTTAAAATATCCTCAATTCCTCCCATACCATCAATGCTGTTCCTGGGTAGTTTGTGGACTTTGAATACAGCAATGTCCACCTCAGCATTAGACACATCAGTTTCAGAGTCATCATCACTTCCTTCTTCATTGGTTACTGAACCAGACTTTAATCCCCATTTGAAGGGCCGTCTTGACTTACTTTTTGGGGAACCTTTAACTTCAGCATCTGCTTCGGCTGCTGTGATATCCAGTTCAGGTGTGTCTAGGCTTGTCTTCACTTCAGGTGCCTTGATTCCAGCCTCCACTGAAGGATGAACACTGGGAAATTCAGGACTTGAAAGACCAAGTTTAGGAAGCTTCAAATGAGGAAACTTGAAGTCACCCAGATGTGAATCAATATCTAGATCTGGTGTTTTTAACTGCGCGTCAGGTCCTTTGAGGTCTGCTTTTGGCAGGTTGATATCCATGTTTGGAGCTTTCAGTGTGACAGGTGCTTTGGTCTTTGGTGAAGACAGGCTGAGATCTGATGCTTTCCAGTTGAGATCAGGTACCTGGAGGTCTGCTTTTGGTAGATCCAACCTGGGTCCTGTTACATCAGCTTTGGGCAAATTAAGGTTGACACGTGGACCCTTAGTATTCAGGGTAGAAAGGTTGAGGTCTGGTACACTGATGTTTGTGTTGGGGGCAGAAAGGTCAATACCTGTCTTAAGATCAGCATCAAGATCTAGATCTGGAGTACTGAGATCTCCTTTAATAGTAGAAAGATTCAAGTTAGGTGCTTTGACATCAGCTGTTGGCAATTTAAGATTTACATCAGGAAGATTGACATTGTCAGCATCGACATTGAGATTAGGTTCTTTTACTCTTGGCCCTGACCAGCCAAACTTTGGAAGATTTATTTTGGGTAGCTTTAATTTTCCAGCTGAGGCATCAACCTCTGGAGTTTGAAGGTCTATGTCAGGACCTCTCAGATCAGCCTTTGGTACATCAATGTCAAGATCTGGTGCATCAAAACCCATTTTTGGTGCAGACAAGTTGAGATCTGATGCTTTGAGGCCTACATTAGGTGCAACCACATTGCCTTTAGGTAAGTGAATGTCTGGGTTGATATCTAGACCATTAAGATCCATATCAACTGCCTTGAGGTCCATGCCTGGTACCTTCACATCAGCATCAATGTTACCCTTTGGACCCTTCAGTGTACCAAATGTGGGTTTCTTGAAGTTGAACCATTTCAATTTTCCAGAATCGTCAAAATCTGGAGCATTGATGTCTAACTCCTGGCCTTTCAGATCAGCTTTGGGTAAGTTTAGATTAACATCTGGTGCATTTATCTCACCATCAATCTTTGGAGCTTTGAGACTCAAGTCAGGGGCTGAAACATTGGCATCTAGATTTGCATCTGGACCATCAATCTTAGGACCTGAGACTGACCACTTTGGCTTTTTTATAGTAGGCCATTTGAAGTTCCCAGATTGGCCCTCAATGTCTACATTTGGTGCTTTAACATTAACATCAGCTCTGGGTAAATTCATATCAACATCGGGTCCATCAAGTGATGCTTTAGGAAAGAGATTGAAGTCAGGTGATTTTACATCAGCATCGAGGTCAACATCTGGGCTTTTCACTTTTGGCCCAGAAAGCAGAAACTTGGGTTTTTTGAGTGTTGGGAACCTGATTTTGCCAGCATCAATATCAGCTTTGGGTAAATTCAGATCAACATCTGGTGTGCTTATTTCCCCATCAATTCTAGGAACCGAGAGATCCACATCTGGTGAGCTCAGATCTGCAGTAAGGTCCACATCAGCATTGGGGCCATGAAGTTTGGGTTTTTTCCACTTCAGATGAGGCCAGTTAATTTTCTTATCAATGTCAAGATCTGGGGCCTGAAAGTCTACATTGGGACTGTTGAGGTCAACTTTTGGGAGATTCAGCTCAGTATTCGGTACATTAATGTCACCCTCAATCTTTGGAGTTGAGAAATTTAAATTGGGTGTGTTTAGGTCTGCATCTATGTCTAAGTCTGCTTTTGGACCGTGAAGTTTGGACTTCTTCCATTTCCGGTGAGGCCAGTTGATTTTACCAGATGTAGGCTCTACATCAATGTTTGGGGTTTGCATGTCTAGCTCAGCCTTTGGCAAATTAATGTCAACACCCTCCACTTTTGGAAGAGAGGGATCTACATATGGTGTGTTCAGGTTTGCATCTAAGTCCAGATCAGCTTTTGGGCCATGAAGTTTGGGTTTTTTCCATTTAAAATGAGGCCAGTTGATACCAGATCGGGTATCATTGTCCCCATTGAGATTTGGGGTTTGAACATCTAGATCAGGGCTTTTGATGTCAGCTTTGGGAAAGTTGATGTCAACATCTGGTGCACTTAGATCCCCATCGATCTTTGGTGTGGTGAGGTTGAAATCAGGTGCAGACAGGTCAGCATTGAAGTCGGCATCTGGTCCTTTAACTTTGGGACCTTTCCATTTCAGATTGGGCCAATTGGTTTTGTCAGGACCATTCAAATCCACTTTTGGCCCATTCAGGTCCAAATCTGGACTTTTAACATCTAATTTTGGGGCTGACAGATTGAGATTTGGTGTCTCTAGATTTCCACTGACGGAAGGGAGATCGAAATCACCAGAAACATCCATGTCTGCTTTTGGTGTGTTAATTTGAGGGAGATTGAAGTTTGGCATTGAGAATTTTGGGGCCTTGTATTTCAGGTTGCCTGTCTTGATTCCTGGTTTCTCGATGTCGAGTGAGGCACTGGGGGTGTTGAGCTTGGGAGTTGAGACACTGACATTAGGTGCTTTGAGGGTGCCATCTAGGTCTCCTTTTACATCTGGTCCAGTCAGTCCCAGTGAGGGCATTTTGAACTTGGCACCGGCATCAGCTGAGGGCTTATTTAGACTGAAACTGGGAAGGTCTCCATTGAGAGTGGGACCACCTAGTTCACCCCCCAAGCCCTGTGCAGTATTTAGCTTTCCTCTTAGGCCATCAAGGGAAACAACGGGTGCCTCAGCTGATGCATCCAGTGACAGATCCTTTTTTAAGTTGAGCATCTGTTGGTAATGGAGGGATAAACAAATTAGGTTAACATTGATTAAAGCTCTTCAGTGTCATTAATAAGTTATAACGAGCTTATATTGTTATCATTAGTAATGCCTTCCGATACCCAGTTCTAACCGGTAACCGATTAGACAGTAGTAAATACCAGAAGTATCAACATGGTCCGGCGTTAACGGTTCTGCTATTGGTACTTTTGAAGTTACGGAGTAAGATCACCGTTTAAAAAAGGCAGCGTTCAAACCTCTTCTCTCTGTCTCTGTCTTTCTGCTTTACTCTGACACACACACACTGACTCCAGCTCAGTACAGCGTGAGACACACATCATGGCAGAGAGAAGAAAAAGATCCAAAGTGTGGCTACATTCTATATTTCAGTAGATACTGAGAACTCTCGTTGTCACAAATGCAATAAAACCCTCACAAGTAAGTGAAGTAACACCAGCAGTTTATCACAACATTTGGCCAACAAGCAGAATATAAATGTGCAGAAATGTTCAGTCCACTGCAGCAAGCGTTAGCGATACCATACGGAGTTTGAGCATAACAACAGGCTAATCAATGAAAGCTAATCACTCAGCTAATTGTTTAGCTGCGAATGTACCAAACCGATAAGTAGTATTGATAATAGTACTAGTATTGATACAATTTTAACAATACCCATCCCTAGTTATCATTAGCACTGTGTTGGAGAACTACTGTTTCTATTAATATCATTTTTTCCAATTTAATTGTTTAAAAAAATGTGCAAAGGAAGCATTTGTCATGGGTTTTAGGAATTTTTGAAGTGCCCTAACAGAAACTAACATCATATCAGTGGAGGATGACTTTGACTAGATTGATACTTGTCTATAGCTCATACAACAGTCTGCTCACATCAGACTTGGTCACCTCATCCAAATAACAAAGAAAACATTTTTTCTATCTTACCTCTTGGGGTATATAGCCTGCATATAGTTTTGATTTTATATACCACAGTTTAGAGGTATCCATTTTTATTGGAACCACTTTTGAAACACAATCCCACAACTAGGGGTAAGACTTTCTTTTTAAATTTGGGTGAACCAACCCGTGCGAATATTACCTTTGTCGGGTCTTTGAGACCTAATCCAAAGGAGCCAAGACCAGCACTGGCGCCCAGCTGCTTCTTTGTCAGAACCTTTATGTTGCTATCATATGGCTCCAGGACCTTCAGGATCTTCAGCACTTCATTTTTGTTGAGGTGGTCTAGGTGTATAGTGGCTGCAGAAATCTTATCCCCTGGAACAAGTAACAACTCATCAAAAACAGCATGTTTCTATCTTTTCCATAAATCCTTTACCCACAGATACTGGTTGAGATTTCAAAAACTGCAGCAAGAATACCATTTGATTTTCAATATGTACTTGTTTTTCTCTTACCTGCTTTTAAGCCACTCCTTGCAGCGAGTGTGTCATCTGTGATTCCAGTAATGACGACTCCTTTCTCAGAGTCATCTAGGATCAGACTTTCTGAGAAACATCTACTCTTGTTGTCCCCGTTCTATGTTTAAAAGTGGTTCACAGTGCACAAGATGAGACATTCACATTTTAGCAACATTTATTTTGTGACAGTCAGATGTACTTATTTTCATTCTTACCATATTTCTTAGTTGTATTTACATCCACATATCCTGGAATGTTTTACCAAACCACAAGAAACCATGGAAACACCACACCACAGCAAAGTAATCTGTAAAACACCAGAGAAAAGCACATTTATTTAGTTAGTATAACTTTAAATCAGTGACATAACTATATCATGTACCTTGTGGAAGATTAAAATGCAGGGAAGAATGCAGAATTTAACAAATGGTCATTGTCTCTATGAAAAATCCATATAATTTTTCATGAAAATCCTTTCCCTCCTTTATTTAGAGTCCTCGCCAAGAATAGAGTAAGCAACATGGTTTTCACGCTATTTATAAAGCACCAGTTTAGGTTTCCAGTATGTAATCAATTACCAAAAATATCCACTATGAATATGAAGGAAATCAATGTTGACAAGTGATGGCCTACAAGCTATCTAAAGTCTTGACCTTGAAGATGACAACAGTACAAACATTATCATCAAAAGTCATAGTGTGAATATAGCCGAAGATCTTTATTATAGATTTGGAAATGATTTCCATCAGCTGTCTGTAGCTCTCACCAGAGCCAGTTCATGCCTCTAACCACACATCCCTGCCAGTGCCCTGGGCTCTTCACCTGTCTTTAGCAACTCTTTCATTTTCTGACCCTGACTGACAGAGAAACAACAACGCCCACACACCAGATCACCTCACACTTTAGGAATCCAAAGCTTGTGCCAGGTTTGTTCATGGGGAATGTATGCATCCAAACAGGTTGGTTAGGATGCATTCTGACTAACGCATACACAGACCACCCTTCAACCACACCCCAACATCTCCACATGTAACTGCTCATGTAATTCACTTGCAGCATAGTCGCATAAATAATGGCAGATAAGGCTTTACATTTAGTAGTACGGGGTTGTGAAACAAGTCCTAAAAAAGGAGAATCAAGGATGTTTTGTTCCACCAAGATCCAGACTGTCCGATAATGCTTAAAAACAACTTGGAGTTAATCGGTCAACACCCATCAGTGTTTATGCAACATGAAGAGATGGTCCTCCAAAAGCTAATTATCATAACCGTTTAAATAGTTCAAATCAACAGCTTTGCTATGTGCAATTAGAGGCCTTAAGTGAACGAATTAGTGACCTGTTGACAGGTATGCTTAGTGCATTTTTGTAAGAATATATAGAATGAGAGCTCAAAATATACATCAGGGGACTGAGCTTATTAGAGCAACACTAATCACAATCGCTGATGTTACTGCACAGATGTCCTTGATTTCCAAAGCTGAAAGAAATGTTGAAAAGCGACAGGACTGCACAGTGGCCTCAGACTCTATACATACTTTTACAAACCAGAAATCTGCCAATCATAGGAAACAAGAAAGTCACGAGAGATTACTAAAAGTGTGGTTAATATGTGCATTATTTAAAACAGGGTGGCAACATCAACACTGATACCAACCACACTGACTCACAGCAGGGTGTGCGTCAGATGACGGCAGACTATGGAATGTCCCAGTCAGAACAGTTACAAGTCACACTGACAGCAGTACTTGTTAGCGATACTGAACATAACATTTGATATACTGTGTATTCTTTATCTACACTTTTGTCATTTTATTTTGAATGCTCACTTGTTGTTAATGCCAGAAATCACAACATATTTCTAAAGATCTTGACTTTGCAACAATTGTGTTTTATATACAATTCAAAAGGACAAATTTTGAAATGATTATAAGGCAATATTGATTCCAATATATGTCAAGAATAAGGATCTAGAACTTTACACTTTGATATGGTTCCTTTAGACCAAGAATATATACTTGCACCAAGTCACAAAGTTATTTTTCAGTTACAGTTTTCTTCCTAGAGCAACATAGCATAAATGCTCTGAAGAAGATAATAATGTATACAAATAAACCAAATTCATATTCATAATGCACAAGCTTTCTATGTATACATTTTATCTTCTTAAGTCACCAACAACTTGCTTTTTAAGAACTCATTTTAGTAAATGTTGCCCTAAATGATCTCATCATGGGGTCTCATATCAAGCAAAAAGAGGCCATAGAGAACATGTTTGATGGACTCACCGTATGCTGCTTCCAGAGACGCCTCTAGACAAGGAAAGCCCAGGGAGAGATATTGCCTCCTCAGATTGTCACTGCAGTTCTGACAGGCAAGACAGGATGGATCTGCCAGTTAACTGCCTATAAGCAAGCAAACCAGGAGAACAGGTTAGGCCGCATCAGTACCGCCTCTTCTAGCACCCCCTTTTCCCCTTACAACACACACCCACACGCCCCGCATTCAAACTATGTCACAGAGTCTTTCGCAGGCTTTTCGGCAGCCGAAACCTGACTAGAAAGCACAAGAGAGAAACACCACTCCTTCTTAACAGGACTAACCAGGTTTGCAAAGAAATAACACATAGCAACACTCGCATACACAGAAACTTGGCGCACAATCACTTTTCGGCATTTCTGCTTTGATGAAGCCTTCGCACTCAAATTTTGTGGGTCTTGGGGGTCTTTTGATAATTTTGCAGAGCGGGGCCACAGAAGGAAAACTATAAATATCAAGGCCACTAATCTGCTAATTGTGCACAAAAGTTATAATTAGCTCATTTTAATTAGGTTATTCTCACATTTTGAATCATTTGTGGGCACGAATAATGATTTCATCACTTTGGCATGCACAAAGCCAAGTCATGCATTGCAGCCGCCACCTGCTGAAGGCACCTTTCATTAGTTCTGGCTCTGGCTAGAGACTCTTTAATGAAGCTTTGTTTTACTTATAGGATGAGTTATCAACACATGTTACCAACAGTTGCAAGACATTATTGTTCGTAGCTGTCTTTATCGTTCAGGGGAAGGCCTTGGAAAACATCATGGTGGATGTAAGTGTTTGGATTGAAGTTAGTGTGTTGTGCTAGAACTCTATATCCACACTTATCTCATGCACATGTATGAACCAAAAGGTGGGAGCAATGTAATTGGATTTAGGATTACGGTCTTATGTGCCCAAATTAATAAATTGTGGCCTCAAATGTACGTATATATTGTTCTCTTTGACCACTCCCGGGCTCCGTAGTAGTTAAAGGATTGTAACACTGTTTCTGCATAATTTTTCCAATTACAATACAATTTTTTTTACTTTCCTATTAGGAATAAAACAATATTTTCATTATTACAAGCTACAGTAGTTTTGATTTGTTTTGGTATATTATGAAGATCCAGTTGCAGAGCTTCAAGTCAGCAATTATCGCTCTTGTTGTGTGTACAGACTTTACAGTCAATCAACACATTACCACACTAGCATTTAATAACAATAAGAGCAGACATAATTAACATGTGTCATGTCAATACCCTCTCATTTTCACACCATAGTAACAAGAATATAAACCAATGGCTATCAGTTTACCTATATCTGGCCTTTAGTTTAGTAAAATTTTGAATGCAAAACTTTAACCTGTGATGTGTTTATGAGTGACTGACTGACTGTGGGTGACCGTGGCTAAGTGGAGAGCCGGGCCGTCCTGCAATCAGAGGATCGGCAGTTCGATCCCTGGCTCCAGCTCCACTAGTCGCATGTCGATGTGTCCTTGAGCAAGACACTTAACCCCAAACTGCTCCGGTAGCTGTGCCTACGGTGTATAGATAGATACTGAATTGTAAGTCGCTTTGGATAAAAGCGCTTAATGGCTGTAATGTAATGACTGACTGACTTACCAGCTGTGCAACTCACTAATTTCACTTAATGGGTGACTTTGATATTTTTCAAACTGGACCCTATTTTCCGATGTTTCTGTGTCTAACTGACAAATGGGGAACAATGTAAAATTATTTTGAAGACATTATTGCTTCAATATTCTCCTTACTAAGATGCATACTAAGGGATGCAGTATGAGTCACTACCCAACCCTTCCAACCAATTAATACAATGTCTAATACAATGTGTACAGAAGAGACTAAGCAGGGAGTTGTCAGTGTAAGACAAAGACAATAGCTAAATGATGAGCATTATAGATGCCAAGATGAGGGAGTAAGCTGGTGAGTGAGATTCCAACTTTATGTGAAGTGCTTTCTGGTACAACGACTTGTGAAACGAAGGGTGTCTAAAATAAAAGCCATGATCCACATACGGCAGGAGTCACAGAACACTGATAATACAGGGAACATACTAAACGATGTAACTGGAGCCGATCCCAGCTGGCATTGGGCAAAGGCAGGGTTCATCCTGGACAGGTATAGAGAGAAACAACCATTCACGCTCACAGCCACACCTACGGGCAATATAGAGTCCTCAACTAACCTAAGCTGCATGTCTTTGGACTGGAGATTCTGGAGAAAACCCATGCTGCAATGGGGAAAACATGCACAGAAAGCCCGTCTAGCACAGGAATCGACCAGGGCCCCTATTGCTGTGAGAACTACAGGTACCTCAAAAACAAATGCGTCACACTTAGTACAATCAGAACAGCAGAGGCCAATATGCTCAGGTTTAATAGGGTCAAGCTCCAAACACTGGATACCACACGATAAAACCAAAAGCTTCTCTTAGTCTGTGTGTTTCTGTAGAAGAGATGTATACAGTACATCCTCCTGACAAATGTCTGTCCGTCTGTGTCCTCACTCCCCACACCAACAGTAGAGTGACGATCCTATTTCCATATGTATGACCACATGAGCTTTGATGATGGGCCTACGTGCGTTTTGGGGTGACAGAACTGTCTTTTTCTTCTTTCTATTTTTAGTCTGACCGGCCCATAAAGCAGGTAGAGCGGTCAAATGTTTTTTACTCTGAAATGACACTGGGTTGTCCCAATCACATCTCCCCTTGAGAGTAGAGCCTTCATTAAGCGCATCTGCAAAAAAGGGATCAAATAAAAGACAGGTCACGATAGCAGAATGGACTGAGCATCAGACTGCTTTTTGAACAGCCCCCGACTTCAGACCTTTTTAGAGACTTGCTGTTTGGAGTGAACCCAGTCAGCGTCTCTCTCACTCCTCTCTTGCTGTGTGCACACAGGAAGGAGTGAGTTACTATGGTTACGGGCATCGGCCCTGCAAGAAGATTGTAATGTAAGCCTAATGTATGATGCTCTGCTGAAAGCTTCATAAGTGTGTGTGTGTGTGTGTGTGTGTGTGTGAGACACAAGATACAGCAGGAAGAGTAGAGGAGAAAAGGCAGAGCGTACAGGAGAAAACACAGCTCAGTCTTTCCCTGTCCCCCCTGAATACACTGCACAAGTGCATCATCGCTATCAACTCTTTAAGCTTCTCACAGTGGCTTTTCTGAAAAGGTGTAAACACGAACTACCTTTCGACATGTTGTACAAGCCAGCATAAACCAGCCAGTACCCCGATGGCACCACTGGCCACATCTGTATCCAATCAGCAGGACAGAGAGCAGGACTGTGGTGGGACGAAATGAGGTGGACTCTGTTTACATCAATGATGCTTGGTGCTCCAACACAGTCAAAACTGACTCACATGTTTCTTTTGTCAGCCATACTCCCCAGTGAATTGTTGTGTTGCCACTGTTTAAGCAAATCCATGCAGAGGAATGCATTACTGTTTTGTTAGTCATGTTTTGCTTGTTAAGCAAATTGGCTGCAACTGCATTTCGTTGTGCAAACCTGTGACGCATATGATGCATTGTCCTTGAATCTTGATTATTAATTCATAGTGAGTACAGTCCATAACTTCACTAGCTTTATTCCCAGCAGCTGGGGCATGGATACTGTTTTACTGAGCTCCGTATGAAGCCCTGGTACAGACACAGAGAGAGCATCTGTTACATGTGTAAATAGATAGAAAGTTATGATGGAAGTATTTTGGCATAAACTGAGACACAAGACTGGTTTCTTAAGCTCCAGACTGTCAGCATTCCCCTTAGATTTACATTTGAGAATATCTTGGTGTGAGATTTGGTGAAATCAGATTTACTGTCAAATGAACACAAAGTTACAGTACTTTGTGAGTGAGGGGTTGATGGTGATTTTGTTCGTACATGTCTCTTAGCCAACGGCTGCTTTTTGTGAAGTCAGAGAGAAGGAAAAAAAGAAAACAGCAATTCCTCGATTCATGTTTCATTCACTGCCTCAGTTTCAGGTCCAAACTTGTGCTTTTTAATGAATACCTGTGGAACTGGTAAAACAAAGATGCACACATAAACACCTCCTCTACTGTCACAACAGCACACATGTTATGTCTGCAATAGTCAACTTAACTGGTATGTTGCAGGTGATGCAGCACAGGATTTTGTTATCCAGCCAATGAACAGCATTCCCCTCATTACTGGCCCAAAATTCTTCATTTATCAGGACTGAGCTGCAGCCTCCTGTGGGAGCTGTGTACGTGTCAATTGTGGGTGTATTCCGCAACTCAGGTGCTGTGTTTTGTTCTCAACTGCAATGACAACGATTTTTGAATTGGGCCCAACTCGTGCCTCTGACTGGCCTCTTAGGTATCGTAGCATTGAGAGCCGTCCAACATGCCACAACATGATTTCTCAGAAACCATTCAAACGAGTGGCCATAACATAAAGCTATAGGGTGGTTACATTACCAGGAGAGTCCTGTTTCTATGTTGAGTAACAGTATAGATGAAGTAAGAACAATTTGAGAACTAAATTCAATAGAAATAGAGAATGGAAAAGAAGACAGACTCAGCAGTAGTCTCTCCCACTCTGTGTGAAACCAGAATGTGTGTTTTGTTTCACACAAAAGAAAATCTCAATCAAAGTCACATTGACATTTATAAATGATACTAAAAAAGGCTTTGAAACAACATTTACAGCTTCATGTTAGCGAATACAATTTACTGTTACTACAAATGAACAGTTTGCATAATTAATAAAAACAAAGATATCAAGTAATAACACATTTAGAAATATATTATTTGATTTATTCTTTCTGAAAGTGAGGAGTGTTTCTTTTCTTTTACATTGTGCAAAACAACATAGTTTTAGCTCTAAGGTCTCGATTCAAATAGAGCAGTCTGAGTAGGGCAGAATACTCCTTAGTGGAACAACTCACAAGTTCTCAATGTGTATGAGGTCATAAGTACGTCCCTTCACAGTTATATTGTACGATGTCTTAGGGTGACGTACATTCACCAAACCAACCCTTGAAGCCGTTCCTCAAACAAGGCGTGTGTAAGGGAAGACAAATCAAGCAAATGACAACATGTATTTCAGAACAAGTGCCTCGGTGCTGTAAAGAGCCCCATGTCCCTAACTGGGACTGTTAACTGTTTCAGTTAAGGAGCACAAGGTTACTTTTGCAGAAATACGGCAAAATAATCAATGCAAATATACGGTAGGTGTGTGTTTACCACATACAGAGTCTGGATACTTTGACTATTCGGAGCATTAAACTAGCGTCTAGATAGTGCTGTGTTATTACTGCCAGCACCAGCTCTGCATTAAAGGGATCAAAGTGTAGGTGTGCAGAGCAGCAGGTGAACCTGTGCCGGACTTAGAAACAAAACTGACAATCAATGTAACAATGTTAATTATTAGTTGTGAAGACGCTGTTTTTATTAGATTACCTGAACACCACCAGAACTCTTTTCTAACTCAGTCCTGACATTTTAAGAGAACCTCTTGTGTGTTTGACTTTAACTCCTTCAGAAAACCAGTTTGTTTGGAAGCAGGGTGGAAGTAAAGTGCTCAGACTCCAACAGATCTGTGCTTCCTGAATTGAGACGTGTCAGATTTCACCAAACAATTCAAGCTTTACAATGATTCAGAAATGTCTTATTGTTCGGTATGTATGTACAGCCTTTTGTCAACTTTAGTCAGCAAAAGTTATATGATGATGAACTAATTGATAAATGATTGATTTTGGATAGTTTGACTTTGATTTTCTTATAACAAAAAAGTCTCAATCGGCAGAGTAAGTGTTGATACAGTCTCTGCTCATGTCATGTGTTCCAACTGGAATGCTGTGAAACTGCATTCCTACCACACTAGTGTGCAGAGTAGAGACACATTAAGCACAGACTTCTGTCTAAACTCACTAAACACTGTTGGATGCACCGAACATCTAACGTAACCAATTACGTACGCACACTGTACTTCATACTCCATTCCAAACATTCTGCATCTATTACACAGCAGAAGCTTTACCTCCATAGGCATTCCAAACAAGTCTGGATAATTGTAAATCTATCTTCATCACATCTGCACAAGCACGAAGAAGTAAACGTTTACGTGAACGAACCCTGGAACATGAAATATTTACTGGTAATTCATCCACATGTTAAATATTTGTCTTCATCTTTCATACGTTGCTCATACAAGATCCCGAATGAGAATATCTGTTTGTAACAGTAACACCTAACTGTAGATGTCTGATTGGAATACATGCGACCTAAATACTGCATGGTCCCATTAGATTAACACCTGCAGTCCATCTGAGGCCTAATAAACCTCTAATTCCCATACTGAGCAACAATTCCCTTTGCTCTTTTGATTGCAGACAAAAACGTCTAGGTGGCATTTGCAGAAATAACTGAACTGTAAGTTGTTGTTTTTTACTGATCTAAGAACTTGTTTACGTCTGTCCTGACTAAAATAGTGTTTAATGTCTATGATTACCATTTTTCATACTTGTGGTATCCTGCATACGTCATGTGTTCAGGCAGCATGGTGACTGAAATAAGTAGATATAATGTGATTAAAGACAAAAACACCTCACTGTGTCTTCTCCGATTCTTAGAAAAGTGTTGTGTTCTGGCTCGGAAATACAGGCGTCAAGGCTTCAGCAGTCAGTCAGGCTACGGCCTCTTGTCCAATGAATCAAGGCAGCGAAGCATCCCTGGTATTTGGATTAGGTATTCTGCCCCACAGCAACTCTCTTCCATCCATCTTCTCTGACAACTGCTCTCGTTGTCAAGAGTGGGATTACAAAATTGAAAGGACACAACACTGACTTCACTGCAGCAATCATTACGGACGAGAGGTCAACCTGTTGTACTGCTCAGCTGTCGCTCCTTCTATTGTGTACATTAGAACTCCCAAATCCCACTTGAGATATATAGAAAGTTGTTACAGTTTAGATTTAAAAATGAACAGGTGGGTAGGGGGGGGTTAGTGAAAACCAAAACATGTTAATGTTTCCAACTGGTTAATGCAGGTTATATAAATTACAGCCAGAGTTAGGAGTAAATTAAGCATAAACCTTTTCTAGAAATGATCAAATAAATGAACATTATATTTGTTCAGTTAGCAGGAGGCCTATAGTTTTTACATTTAGCAGTACATCACTTGGAGGTCAGGATATGTTCAGTGAATTTGTGGGTTTTATCAACCTGGGGGAGCTTACCTTCAACAATTCAACACATAGCCATGGTGGGGATTTTATCAGCGGATTCCAGTGTTTTTAAATTTATATTTACATTCCTCCCCAGTGTGCAGAAGGATTTGAAACATGTGTTGCAAAATATGTTGCAAAATGAATACAACATGTATAATTAAACTGGTTTTAAGTCTTTGGGCCTTTAAAAATGATTGAAATAAAACAATCTGAAAAGGGAAGTACTCCTTAATGGAACTGCTTACTCACCAACATGCAGAATGTGTAGAGAGGTCACAAATAAAGATCTTCCTTTGAGGAGTCATACAACAGCAGTTTAGCATGAGATTAAACAAGTTGATCTACTCAGAGGTAGTTGGGGGTCCACATAGATCCAAACTGCAAGTAGGCTGACAACACCAGCCCGGAGGTGAGCTTCGTTTCTCTCTCCAATGACACTACTAAAGGTACGTGAAGGCACACACTCAACCTGACATTGTTAGATTGAGAGAACATATTCTGTTCCACACACTATAAAGCATGCGCTCAGGCCGACAGGTCAAGATCCTGGACATTGTTCTGAAGACGCAGGAAGCCAGACGTCTCATGGCCACATTCCTCAGCTTGCATGTGGGTAGGGTAAACACTCAAGTATGCACTGTGCATTTTTAACTAGGTGACACATTCTTTGGCTGGTGTGTTGACGCAACAGATAACAAGATGTGATGAAACTCCACTTCATGCAACTTAAGTCTAGTTAGGAAACTCAACGCCACACACAAGATACATTTGCATTAGAAGAGGGTTGCTTTATTTAAAACTGTACATTAAGAAAAACAGGTTAATGAGAAATCATTAACATACATGATATGTTTAAAAGCTTCACTCCCATACACATCAGAAGCTGGTGAGTAAGGAGTTGGCCGGCAGGTTGTCTTTGGCTGGAGACATGGGCTTTCCTTTCTTACGCGCACTAATCTTCTGGGAATCTCTGAAAAACACAAATGCGGTTTTAGAACTGATCTATTTAAAACAATCACTGGTTAAAGTTACTGGTGTTACAGCCGTGATGTCACCATGACAGTTAGTTTACACTGTTGTCCACTGTAAGTGGGAGTTAGTCGAAGGTTTAAAACGGTTCCTCTGTCCTACCGTGACAGTTTTTTTTATTATCTTCACTGGGAGATCATGAGATAGGTAGTGTGTGCATGAGTGTCTGTTCATGGCTAATCTCGCATACCGCTGCTCAAAACCACATATTTTGGGTGCTCATTTATTGCTGCATGCTCAAAGACGTCTAGTAATTTCAATGGCTCACTTTATCAAAACACCTTTTATTGCCTCTTTGATACTGCCTTTGATTGATGGCTGACCGCTAGCTCCTCACTCATTACTCTTAACCGGCGGGGGGAGCAGGTTAAGAGCTGCCTCTCTCTGCAGCCAGAGACAGAGGGGGAAAGCAGTTTACTCAGTAGACTTGAAGCCTAAAGAAATGCTTCAAGTCGCAGGATATGCCTGTGATGCGCGTCAGCACACACACACACACACACACACACACACACACACACACACACACACCTCTTTGCAACTTAGCCGCTGCTCCGTGGGCACACAGCGTGGTGAGGCTGGGTATGGTTTGAAAATGTTTGATACGTACTGATACCTTGAATACTGATACTGATGGCACAACAGTACTTTTTCTGATACTTTGTGAGAATGAAAACCTCATAGCCTTATCAGCAGCCCAGCTATGTTACTATAAATGACTACAGCTCTTGTCACTACTATGTGTAAAATTGTTTATTATGTAAACATTCCATTTTCTTGAAATTATGTAAACAGTCTGAGGTATTAGTTAATTGCAAAGCCAACATGTTGACAACATAAAAAATAAATAAAAATAAAATGTAACATTAAGGCCACGACCACAACAAATTCTCAAATATTAGACTTGACAGTTTCAGTAAATATTTATCAGTCACTTTTCTAAATCCACATGAAGGCTCTTATGTGTGCATGTTGAAGCGTTTCTGATGTGGCTTGCAGGTGAAGGTCGGCCTTCTCTGCATCTAAGGTGATTGCACAATTACTGTCGAGCGCCGACATCTTTTCAATACTGAGTAGGATGGGCATAATTCAATACAGCTTGCTGACTTTATTTAGTTTTTTTACCAGATTGTATGATTGTCTTGTACGACAACTTTAAGCCGATTGCCCACACAAAGCTTGGTTTGTACCTGCGCCTGGTACCCTAGCACGAGCCGACACACGAGCTCTGAACACGCAGACCTGCAGTTTGTTGCAGGTTTCTGTGAAATGCCAGCGGGCGTACAAACGCCATAAACCTACCTCCTCAATACTAGGGAGGGATCGTAATTTACTGTAAACTCATATGTCATATTTATGGACTACTTTATTGCCTTTATAAAAGCCCTGCACAGAAAGAAGTCAAGTATTAAATGCATTAATGCATTATAAAGAAACAAAAAGGTTAAATATCCTGTATTTGATTTGGCTGCAAAATATTTACACAGCTGTAGATTTTGTTTTTGATCTTCAGACAATGAGTTACTAAAATTCGGAGGTGCACGACCAAGCGTCGAGACAACTTGCAGAGCCTTCACACACTCATTTTTTGGAGCGCCCACCTCACGCCTGCTTCACTACGGGCAAGTAGAATCAGGCTTTACGACGCCGCTAGTTTTGGAGTATGGCTGAATTCATTCAATCACACAATACAGTGGTGGTTGTTGCAGATACACCTGGTGGAAATCTGCACTTTACTAAGTGACACTTTCTACTTTATATTATAGTTTTATTTTCTTATAGTATGATAGTTTATCAAAGCTGCGTGGGTAAAATGCTGCCTCAGCCCCAGCAGTAGGGTTGTGTCTGTCTTTGACACTTGCACTACGCTCCATTCAAAATAAATGTAAAGAAACTGATCCTTATGCATGCGTGGTTTCCCCACTGTACCACACTGAACCCAGACTGGGAACCTTTACACCCCTTCTCACAACTGCATAACAAAGCGGTTATTCTTTTAACATTATTATAACATTGGAACTTGGAACTAGTGTAGTGTATTCTATCAATAATTATATTTCTTTACAGAATTTCTCTTTTACTTTTTGAAGCTGAAATTCTTCCAGAGGCTGCTGATGGTGGCCTGGACCCCAGGGGTGTTTTCATTATTGGAGGAAGAACCCACAGACTTTCTCCTCAGTCCACTGGCCCTGGCCGGGCCCAGTGTTCGCACCTTTGCTGCTTGACCCCGGCTGCTGGACTTTGGCTTCAACAGACCTGAAACCTGGAGGGACAAAGACCATGTATGTGACACAAGATTAACCATAGAGGAAAATACACACAAGCTTTTAATGCTATGACAAAAATCCTACATTTCTAAACCCTAAATTAATAAACAATGAGATGATAAAATCAATACACTAACTCGATCGCCATTATTGCAGGGGCATCTCTCTGTTTGAATGCAGGATGTCCTAAGAAGTGTAAAATGTTCTACTTTAAGACACGAGGGGTTGCAGTGGTCCCACAGAATAAATTAACAAACTGTGGCATTATTGTGAAATAAAACGTTAGTTGCTCTAACTAGGGCAACCTAATGACCACCAACAAGCAGCGTTTTGGTTGCATGTCATATCCCTCAGTCTGCCTTTGTCTACTGTCTGCTATTCAATATTGACAAAGAGGTCAGAAAAATAGAAATGTAATGATTTAATGATACATTTCCTTTGATACGGACTTAACACAAACAGAAATGTTGTTTTTTGGGTTAGTAATTGGTGAGAGAGGGAGAGGGACACAGAGGAGAAAGAGAAAGGAAAAATAAAAGAGGGAGGTAGTTCTCACATCGTAAACTTCCATCTTTTCCCCTCCTGCTCTCATTTACACGACATGAAATACAAGTTGGTAATCAGTTAGCCTTGGTTTTGGTAGGTGTATATTTGAACCTAAGACACAACCAGGCTAGCTGTTTTGCAGTTCAGTCTTTATGCTAAGCTAGGCTAACCACATCCTGCCTTCAATACTGTACTTAACACACAGACATGAGATTGATATCATCTTCTCATCTAATGCAACAGGAGCACACGTCATTCTAGAGCGTTGTCCCTGCTCACTGGCTGCTTCTTGAGAGCAAAAGATATCATATGTGAGATGACATGGCTCGACAATGCCTTTAGCTTTACTGAATTACTGTATATTGAGAAATTACAATGTACTTTATTTTCAGAATTTACAGCCCTGTGTCCGGAGCCTTTAATGGTTCTATGACTTCTTCTCCTTAGTTAAATGATAGTTAGTCTGACTTAATATGGGACACTGGGTATAAGCCAATTGGTCGCCTATGTCAGCCAGCACTGTTCTCCCTTTTTACTAACACTATATTTTGCAAGGGCTCCGTCGCTGAATCCCGTGTTTAGCACCGCCCCAGATGATTGTGATTGGTTAAAGATATACAAACATGCAATAGCGTTTTTTCCCCCGAAACCAGACTGCTGTGGAGATAGGTCTGGCTATATCTGTAAGTTCAAGACTCCTCTTGATCTTACATATATTCACCTCTTTTCAAAGCGTAATGAAAGGCATGCTCTGCTGGTTATGAAAATGAGTTGGATGGTAATATTAGTTAATTAGCTTGTCACTGTAGAAAAACCTCATTACCAGCACATTTCCCATGCTGCCAGGGGACATTAAACACCATGCTAATGAAATGCATTGGAGATTTACAGCTCCTTACGGCAGGCTGACACAACCCTCCTCCACTGTCTAATGGTAAAGAAGCTATGGGACAACTCAGTGCCTTTGAAGAATAATAAACTAAGATTTAACCAAATATCCACAAGGTTAGACATAACTTATGCCATGTCCCCACTACTCCGTTTCCATTTGAAAACGCATATGTTTCGCTAAGTTTACACTGAGCGTCCACGCTATGTCAGCATTTTCGAGCACCGAAAACAGAGGAGTTTGAAAACGCTCCTGAAGACGGATAAGTTTGAAAACTCCAGGTTGTGTTTTCGTGTGGACGGTCAAAAACGGATAAGTTTAGAAACGATGACGCCCACATCCACATTCGCTACTTGATTGGTTCTTAGCAGTCATGACGTGTCCTGCCGCGATTCGTCACACTCCTATCACCTGACCCTTACCCGGAAGCTCACAAACAACAACATTGATTATCGATCGACTACCAGGTTAATTTAACATGGAGAACTGATTACAGGCGTTGCTGACCTTGTTGTCTTTACTAGCAGCTGTTGTTCAGTTAAAGTCTGCATTATTATGGAGGAAGCAGCTGTTGTTGGAGCGATTAGTGAGCGGCGTGACCAGCGGCATTACCAGACCTACGGAGCGGACGTCTGAAGTCACGGTTAGCGGCTTTAGGGAGGGTGATGGATACCAAACGGAGGACTTTCCTTTTCTTATTACTGCTTATTTTGTTCTCCACATCTATTGTGAAGTCCGCAGATAAAATGTAAAGGAACAAAAGCAGTAAATGCTATTCAGTATGACAGATAAGCCACCAGTAGAGCTACGAGTGAGAACAGACAACGACACCGAGGAAACGAGTATGAGATGTGTGTTGACCACTTTTATGGATCATAATCTCGTAAACTTTTATGTGTAAGTGTTGATTTTAAAGTAAATTTGATGTGAGAGCGAGAGATAGTTACAACAATGTGGGTCTTGCTCTAAGTCTGAAAAATAAAACTTTCCACGAACTGTGTCTGTTTGAGTTCACAGAGGAAGATTTTAGAGAAGATCTTAAGTATCAAACACGAGCTTTCATTGTTAAAGACTACTTTATTACTCTCTCGTATTTTGTTTAACTAAGCAACCAATCTACTTCCTGTTTACATCGACACCACGCGTATGCCCAGTGTACGTGAAGAGTCACGTGATATTTGTTTTCAGGCATTTTAGTCTGAACGGAGATCAATTAGAAAACGATGCTGAAACGCCGTGTGGACGGAGAAAACGGAGTAGTATGGATGTAGTATGGATGTAGCCTTAGGCACAAACCCACCTTTGATCTCAGCATACCAGGTTTCTGATATGCTTCTGTTGAGTGTGTGGGAATCTGTTCTGGCTCAGAATCTTTGCTTGAATTAATTTCCTGAGGAATTAAATGAAAGACATGTAAGAACACAAAGCCATGCTACCAAAACAGTATTGCACACCAACTCATGAACCATGACACTCTGATGATGATGTGCCTGTGAAGGCTGACCCAACCACAAGGGATGTAAAAACATTTTTAAAGGCGGTGGAGATTTGTAGGAACGCACAGTTGCAGCATCCTCCTGGTAGGAGGAGGAGAAGCTGTCGGTGAGGACTTCCTCTTTGTGGCAGGAAGTGAGGTAAGGCTGGGACTGGGAGAAGTAGGCACTGTCCTGCGAGGGAGGTGAATCTTGGAGGTCATTATTTTTCACGTGTTCTCCATCAGTGGAGGACAGATGTGGTGGTGACATGTTTCCAGGGGGTCTGTGGGTCTTTGTGGACAAGGAAAAACTCTCCTTCTTATACTGAAACTGCTGCAGGGCGGACAGGCCTGACGTGGACTTAGGCGTTTTCAATTGTTCAGCCGTGGAGGAGCTGCCTGACCACTGAAACAGCCTTGGGCCCTGACTGACTGAACTGGGGGATGTGGTGCTAGGTGATGCAGGCGGGCTGGGGGTGTCCACAGATGGAATGTCTGGACCATCACTGTCCTTGGTCTGGGAGCTGGGAGAATTGTCCTGAGTGGGACTCCCTGCTCTGTTCTCTTCATCCTGAGGTAAATCCTCCTGAGCAGACATCTTAGTGCTCAGACTGGCTGAACTGGAACCGCTGAAGAATCTACATGTGGAAATAAACACAACCACATCAGGATAACATACAGTGTTGTGCAAGATGGCACTGCTCGAGTGACAGCCTGTTGCAGAAGCTTGTATAACGTCCTGTGCATTTTGTTGTATTCAATTGCCTTGTTTTTACTTTATTTTAGCTCATATTGTTAATATGGATATGGTGTGGTTTCAACACTTTGGAGGAACAGGATCAGGAACTGAGCTGTGAGAGTCTGACCATTTTATCTGCGTAGGGAGTTCATGCTCTCTGTTATTGGTAACATCCCACCATCAGCCGCCAACTCCGTCATCGCTAAACCAAAGACTCAACACCCCAATGCTTTTATTGCCATTTCAGGAGACCTAAACCAAGCCCCGCCCCTCCCGGGAAGATCGAATCACGACCGGGTACTTCTTAACTCCCTGTGACCAAGAGGACAGTCGGGTGGTGGTTACAGGATGCTACAGAGGCACTTGAGGGATGTTTTCAGAGAGATATGTTCTGGGATGAAACACATTACTGGGTTTAAGGACAAGAAAAAAACAGGGCAGCTTGAGCAGAGTGTAGGTGGAGCCAGAATAATTCTCTGAAAACGTTAACAAAACTTGCTAGCCAGTGTTAACATTAAGTTAACATTAACCAACAGGACCATATTAGCCAACTCAAACGCTGCTGGCAAACTACTTCACCAGGAGAGCAAACAGAAGCTCCAGAGGAGGACAGGAGGCTAGTCAGCTAGCTCCAGCCTGCTCTCGCCCCAACAAAGTAGCCTCCTAGCGGCGAGGAGTAAGGGTTCCGCTGGCCATGCTGTTGGGCTCAACTTCTGTAATAAGCCATTAACCTGGCCAAATTAGTTAAACAACTTAGTACTTCATCCACAAACTCTTGTCACATCGTAAGTACATTGCTATCGCCAGATACAGTAAGTGACAATTTTCTGTAAGCAGTGTCGCATGAAAGCATGATGGAATTATCAAGTTAGCTAAGGTAGCCAGCGGTCTGCTAGTGAGCTTGCTAATTGCCATAAAGTACTCCATGGTAACCATACGTGTCTAGATTAGTAATTAATGATTCTGATAAGGAGCTGATCATTCGGTGTGATGTCACCTGCTGCATGTGGCCTGGCTGTCCTCCTCAGCTTCCTGGTTCCTCCTCTGCAGCAGGGTGGCGAAGCGGTTGCGTGGCCGAGGCGGACTGGTTAATGTTGGCTTGTCTGAATGCTGGTCTGACCTGGACCGCTTGTGACTGGAGGACGAGTACTGCTGGAGCACATCCTGATCTGATACACTAGAGTCTATGGGAGGAAAAAGACAAATACAGTCCAGATGTTATAAGCTAGGAACTGCTGCTGTTATTATTTGCTTTAGTATATCCATTCTGATTTGTATTCCAGAGCTCTGTTTCCTAAAGGACCAATTACCTGCAGATAATTACATTTCATAAAAGGAGGACTGGATTGGGTGAAACTGTAAAACCAATTCTATCACCACAATCTAAAGTAAACTAAACCGCAATACACTCAACATCGGCTTAATGCGGTTATGATGAATCTATAGTATGCATTTATTATTTGTTTCCATATAATTTTGTTTAATTTCTTTTGAACTTTTCCATGGTTTCCTTGTTTTTGCTTTATGCCTGCAAACTATCTTTGAAAGCATATTTTTCAAACTCCTACGGACAAAAAAAACAAATAAGTTAGTTGAAAAGGAAAAATCTAAACAAAAAGGCACAACAAAACAGCCTAGACTAGTCAATCAGTCAAGTTTCTATGTGTACCTGTTCTGTAAGATAAAAACAATAATAAGTGCAAAAAATGAACCGCAGTTCAATGTTAAATAAAATCCAGTTTTAATCAATACTAGTGCAGTGCCCGTTTGGTACTGGCTGACTGCTTGGCTCCCGGTTGTTATCGTCACTCATTGCTCGTTGACTCCAGGGAAGTGAAGAGGAATTTGGTTACTAGGAATGTTAAAAATCTACTGCTTAACCATTAACCGATGATCAGAATTTTGACCGATTACTCTATAATTTAAGCAGTTCAAAGAAAATTTAAAATGAAAAAGCTGAAAGGAGAATAGCTGGTCCACCTTAAGAAGGTCAGCCCACCTTAAGTGAGCCTGAGCCGAAGTTGTTGCGAACCCCCTTCCCTTTAATCAGCAGTTAGCTGGCAAGGGAGACACAATAATTTAGCTTTGAGTTATATTAACGTTTTATTAAACGATAAATAAACTGAACATACACTTCACTGATACATTCACAGCTTTAACGTTGCTGACAACTTCACTCATCGTCACACTCTCTCTACGCAGAACTTGCAACACACTGGGGGAAACCCTGACCGAGTGTACCAGGCAGACACACAGCTGACAACATGGCAACTTAATTAATTGCAGTGGAGACTTACTGAGAAAGTGGCTGCATTTGTCCACGACGACACACATAACATTGTGGCCACTAACTCTCCCAGATGGGTGACCTGGGGATTTAACCGGTTTGTGTATCAGGTTATCGGGGCAGCTGGGTGGCTTGTTAATAAGCACATCAACGACAGAGCCCTGCATGCAAGGGACTGATCTTGACGGTTAACGGTTAATGATACATACAGAGATTCCTTGCTTTAGAGTTGGATATTATCAGATTATCAAAAACCTAATCATCTCCTGTACAGATGAGCAGTGGGGACCAACTACGAAATCTGGAGATGTTCAAACCTAAACCTTGTCCTTAAATTGTTCCACAGCCTAACTTGCAATGATCATCAGCCGTCATCAACCAATCAGATTTTTGCACTGAAGTCGACTTCTTTACTGACAGGGTAAAATGGGTATATTAGTGTTAAAAACCATGCAGCTATCTAAACACTGCATGTTAATAGCTCACCTTCTCGTGGTCTCTTCACCTGCAGCTCTCTGGAGGACAGCCTCAGACCAACCAGACTGATGATTCTCTCCTTCCCCCTGGTGGAGGGAAGCCTGTCCGGGGAGGCAGCAGACAGGGGCGGGGCAACTGCTGCTGGCTTTAAGCCTCCACTCCAGACACTGGGCCCAGTGGGGGCTGGGGAGTGGTTCCAGCTGCGACTGCGGGGTTTAGAAAGCTAAAAGGGACATTTACAAAGTTGTTCTAAATTAAATAACACACTTAGTTAAAGGAGACCTGATTATCAAAATTGGCTGTGATCTGATACCTGTGGAATGGGTTTGTCTGGGCTGAAGTCATCTATCCTCTCCATGGTGTTGATGTCAAGGTTTCCCAAGGCCATCTGCAACCCTTTGTCATCTCCTAGATTTCTGGATTCAATGTCATCAAGGACAAAATACTTTGCAAGTGACGGAGAGGAACTTACAATTTCCCTTTTCTAAATAATATGAAACCAAATTAGTTTCCACTGTTGAAAAAGGTGACACTACATACGATGTGACTCAGGGCAGGAGGATACAGTCCAGCGTAGCTGAGGGTGGCCGGGTCGATGTGCTCTGCGTACGGGTTGAGAGGTACGACCTTCCTCCTGACAGGATCAAACACCAGCTGGTAGAGGAAGGTGTTATTGGCTCGGACAAACCCCTCAATGTACTGCTCAGGGATGACTAGAGTCATCTTCAGATATTGGCCCATCTTTCTGATCACCTGACAGGGCAGCAAAAGCTCACAATGAGTTTGGAAGTCAAAGGTTTGTAGTAAAAACTGTTTTTTTTGTTTAGTTTTTTAAAGTGAGTCTGAGCAGTGGACACTGTGACCACAAACAACAATTTGGGGATAATGGTTCAAATCGAAATGTACTGCAACGGTAGCACAAGTAGAGCAGAGTCAGAATTCTGACTGGCTTGTTTAAAACTGATCTATCTCCATACTGAGCAATTTGGAATGTGGTTGAAAGGTCTAGAAAAGTTAGTAAATGTAAGTGTCATGCTCAAAAGTCACAAAGACAGTACTTAATGTCAATTATAGAATAATTTAGCTTATGAATTCATCTTTATGCTATATAGTCTCACTTTAAATCTGTTGGACCCCTTAGGAATGGTGATACCACTTTTTCCACGAGCTGATCTGTGAGACGCTGGAGGGTTTTTGTTTTCCAGACTTTAGTCAGATGAGTTAAACGTACTTTCCCCAGAAGCAGGTTTGGTGTGCGCCATACGCTTCTATGTTGATCCATCAATCTTAAAAGTCAGGTACCTCTGGAATCACAACTTCAAATAGTAGTAACCTTGCAAAATGCATAATCCAACTTCATCATCTCACCTTGAGGATATCAGGGTCTTTGGCCAGTCGCAGCAGTTTGCAGGCTTTGCCTAGGCCGATGCCATGAAGGGAGGCCAGATAGTCGCATCCAGAGAGGATGCACATGTAGCGAAACTTCTCCTCTGTGAAAATGTTCCCCAGAGAGCGACAGCGACCCATGTTGCTTTGGTCTATCTCCAGGCCGTTGCCCTGCTTGTCCATCTTGAGGATCACCTGCATGATTGGGAAAGACGATTGATTTAGAAGTTGGTGGCCATGTAAGAGCAGTGGTAGTACTACTACATGAGGCTATGTTTAAAAGGTATGTTTGCTGCAAACAGGATCAACACTGTAGTGTTGTTTCACTGGCAAACGCTGATCTGATATAGTCTGTCATTTTTCTCTCTCATTGGACAGCCAACTTACTTGTTGTTCTTACCGAAGAACACAAAATAAGCACTAATACCTTTCTCTGCCCATGCAAACTTTTATCTGGTTTGAATGATGACAACGACCAATAACATTACCCTTCTCCAGAGAACCATCAGGGTCCTGTTCTCCAAAGGCAGCTTAACTAACAAGCTGATATCAGGCTAAATAATCCGGTTCATTCTCATCCTACTAATTTGGTTGATTGCCAGCAGTTTGAGAATTGATTTGTAAATCATGGATGGAGTTATCTTGGCGAGCAGTGTGCTCTTATTGTGAAATAAAGACAAAATGAGTGGAGTGCTGATCATGTGATTGTGGTCTCATGAGGTAGGTAAACTGAGAACAGTCAACAAATCTAATTTTATACGTGTTCCTGAATTGTTGCTGGTGGCTCTTTGATCTACATTGTGCGCCACAATATATCCACATCACTGTTAAACAGTTAGATATTAAGAGTGAATGTGCTGAGGCTCTCCCTATGGACAAGCAAGTTAATCATAAGCCTGTTTGAAAATGAAACCTTAAAAGCAGCTTTAAAATCGCATAAACAATCATTTTAGCAAATTGAGCTAAATGACAAATTCCTATTTAAATGTCAAATGAAATGCCATCTGTTCTGGCTCCATCGGTCTTTTAACATTCAGAACCTTGCAGTTGGGTTGAGTCTTTTCTCAGTTTCTAAAACTACATTCTGCTTGGTTCTTTTTTGCTTATAAACTGTTATTCATGGTATTTTATTAAGTTCAATTTGATTTAGTTTTAACATGTTTAGGTGAGGTTTTGTTGTGAAAATGTAATTCTGATAATTACCGGTGATGGTAAATGGACTGTACTTGTATAGAGCTTTTCTAGTCTTTCCGACCACTCAAAGCGCTTTAACACTACATGTCATCATTCACCCATTCATACACTGATGGAAGGGGCTAAGTGACAACATCAACACTTTCTTTATTAAACTACTTCATATATGCGTTTCACAGCAACACATCTGGGTCACGGTCCAGCTGACTGTCAATAAGCATGCACTTTTGCAGATTTAGGCTTAAGGACTTGTTTCTAAGGCAACGGCTACAGATGGATTTTAAATCAGTTTCAAAGAACCAAATAAATCACACTTGTGTCAAATCGTCAACACTCTACTATGAGAACTATCCCCGTACAAAGAATGGTTTTCTCCATGGAGCTGGAAATGGATTCCCTGGATTTAGTACTCCGTACCTTTTTGCATCCGAATGCCAGCAGGTCAGAGTCTTCTGTGATGACAGCCTGGGCCAAACCACATTTAGTGAGGTACGCTAACTGAGCATCAGCTTCATATGGAGCCACAACACAGTCCACTCCTCTCGCCCTGGCAGCCTGGTTTAAAAAAAAACAACACAAAAAACATTTTCTGCACAACGACACCAACATCACTGGATGTAACCACTAAGAATAAAAGAACATTTCAGAGAAACAAAGAAAGCAAAGCACGCAACAGTGGGGTCTAAATGGCCAAATGAAATATTGTCATAGCCTTTCTGATGTTGGCAGGGTTGACATGCAACCTGGAAGAGAAACTGTAGAGGGCCTCTACTAGGTCTGGTTCAAAAGTAGCGTAGCTGACTTCACTGACACTCAGCCCCGAAGCTGAGAACATTGGAGCAGAAATGAGGCGTGCTGCCCTTCGTTTCAATCACAGTGAGCTTTGTTGTTTGGTCATCAACACTCAGTTTGTTAAGTTTACAGCCATGCTGTTGCTCTCTGTTGCTCTGTGTAAAATGATGCAGTTCAAATAAAAAATAAAAAGTGCTGTCGTTTGACTGAAAAAATGAGAGTGGATTCTGGGTCTTCTTGACTAAAAGGCACGCATACCATTGACTTCAGCCTGGCAGGAGATAGTGAGTCCTCACCTTAATAAGGTTATGAGCCATGGCCGGGGTGATGTTAACACAGCGGGTAAAACAGTCTCTGGCCTCCGACAGCTTGCCTTCACGTAGTAGCTGTCGGCCTTTCTGAAGGTTGCCTTCTCTACGCCTGAAAAGTAAATTAATGAAACATGTATTTATTTGTGGAGGGGCTGTCTGGTCCCACCTGGTCTGTACATTCCTCTCTGCAACTTCACACATGACAATGTTGCTCTGTTGCTGTTTAGGAATGCAGTCCTTCCAACAGGCCAAGCTTTGTCTGAGCATGTTTGTTACCAGGTATGAAAAACACTGGATCATCGTGTGCATTCAGTTCTTCTCAGATGACAATGCAGCTTCAGTGTCTGTTATGGTCACAAATGGTTTCTTTCTTCATACAAGTTTCTCTGCAGGGTTCGTTTCTGTGTGAGTGATCTGCGACTGTATATCCTTTCCCCAGCTTTGGCCTCGGTATTCATTAGTTTTCAACCAGATAAGCTCAGTCCACAAAAGGCCACTTTGTAGTTACTCATCCCCTCCGATATGAATGAGATTTATTTGATGAATCTCTCAATTATTTTTTTTAGATCAATCCTATAATGGTTTGCTCTCTGAAAGTAAAACATGTCCATCAGTTTCCCAGAGTCCAAGGCAACATCTTCAAATTCTTTGGTGTGTCCGACCAGCAGTCCAGAACCCAAAGATCTTTGGTTTACAATGATAGAAAACAGAGAAAGGCAGCAAATCCTTAGTTGAGATGTTGGAACCGGATATTGTTCAGCGGTTTTTGCTTGATGAATGACTTAAAATTGTAAAACAACTACAAAAGAAATTTCTGTTGATTGAGTAATAATCAATCAACCAACAGTATCAGCACTAATGTGATCCAGTGGTGAAGCTCCTCCCAATAGAGGGTATGCAGTGCTTCCCTCTCTTTATAGAAAATGGCCACCATAGCATAAAGCGTACCATGTCTGTAGTCTGAGCTGAGCTCTGTTTTACAATTCAATGTTTCTTACTTGCTTTGTAAGTACCATGTAAAAAATGGCATCACATTATATGGAAACAATTACAGTTTAATTCCCTCACTTTGTTGAAAAAGCGGTGGAATTCTCTCTGATGTGTTAACAGTGCTGCCAACTAGCCGTGTTTTGTTTCTGACTGAACTATTGCTGCTGCTTTATTTTGCCTGAAGAACCAGCGTCTCCCGGGTAGAAGCTATTAAGGTTATGATGAATAACTGTCTGTTATCTTCAGAGTCCAGAGGACATTCAGATAAAAGGGAAAACATCTTCAACCACTGAACAATCACTCCATCAACTTGATAAAAACACACTCAATTGGTTTCAGATGTACCAACCAATGAGATTTATGCATTTTATCTGCTGGTCTATTGTGCCGGTTTCCAAGTAACGTCATCAGTGCACACAGGGTCGAAAACAAAGGACAATGACTGACAGCTTATGAAGAGATCAACTTGAGGAGAATATGTTCATTATGTAGAGAGGAAAAGCGGTTTGCACACTGTGGATAATTAGCTGTTAGCTCCAGCTATCTGGTCAAGCCATACACTTTCTATGGTGCATAGTACGCCGTATAGCATGCTGTCCATGAAAGGTATGTGTCGCGCATCTATACATTCATGCACAATAAAGGTAAATACTCACTCTCTGCGAGCCCTCTCCACTTCTTTTTTTGAAGGCAGATTGCGTCCATCAAATACCAGAATTGGTTTGACACTGAAGCCCAACAGCATTTCCACAAATTTCATGCAGTACCACACATACCTAGGATTGAAAAAAATCAAAATGCCAATATCAGTTCTGGACATTCAAACCTCACTGCCAGATTACTGTTAGTGGCATTGACACAATAGATAAATAGTTGTAAACATTTTCTATTTTGCTGTATTTGATCTGGTCAGGATAAGCAGTTACCTGGTTTCATTGCAGTATGCTTAATTAGGGCCATAAACAACTGCAGTCAGCTGATTGGTTCAAAGATATGACTTGCTGCCTGTGCTGGTTGGATCATGTGGTTCAAGCTGTGAAGCCTTGAGAGCACACTAGTCTTTGACCGTGCTTAACCTGTTTACTGTGGCTATCGTGCCTGTATAGTATGTTTAACATATTTTGTTGCCAAATTATATTTTAGTTTTGAAAAAGAAAGGTTTTTTTGTAAACATCTGAATAGAAGAACAGGGGCTATGAGTGCCATTGAAACATATCAACAACTATATGCTTGGACCCCACCGCAATAAGTGGACATTGTCGAGAAATAGGCAGAACCCCACTGACAATTACAAAATATTAACAGATTTGTGAACACATTTTCATTTTTTAGAATAATACAAATGCTTACTGGTCAGTTGGTTCTCCTTTTGCAAGTTTCTCAGCACATGAAAATGCTCCTTTATGCAGCCAACAGTACGTGTCCACAGCCACGGTCTGGCCTTTGTATTTCTTCACATTGATGGGCTCTGCAGCATCTTTGATGAACTGCAGCAGGCCAGAGATTCCCATTTCCAGCTGCTGATATGAGCCACGCTGATTCTGCAGCTGTAAAACAATCAGGAAAATACTGATAAAAACAACTGCTTACACTTTAGGTGAGAAAAAGGTATATCCACAACAACACCTACATACAGGAGTTCCATTTCCACACATGCTAACAATGTTGACACTGGATTTCTTGTTTTTGCATGCTTGCCATCCAGGCCCTCATGCGACTGTGTTGTCCAGGCCTTCAGATGTGTGACTCTCTGCTAAGGCAATCTCATCTTATGGCTTTGTCTCTTTTTGATTATTTTAGGGCAACTTATACCTTTTTCATTAGATTGACACAGTGGAGAGGTGACAGGAAATTTAGAGGGAGAGAGATGAAGAATGACATGCAGCTAAAGTCCCCAGCTGGAATCAACCCGGAGACGTTGTGGTTCATTGCATGTTATCCTGTTAGTGAAAAGAAACTAGGTTTGACAATTGATTTGTCACATTTAAAGGCAAAATCTGTTGTCCAAATACATAAATGGAACCGGTTGTCGAATTTTTGTATTATGGCATTGCATGCTACGATATACAATATATCAATATCTTCTGCTGCCAGTTTAGATAAGCAATATCTGTAAACACAATTATATATTTTAAAAAGCTGCGTACATTTCTGTATCTATTCCTCATTTTCATTTAGTATATTTCTTATATCACCAAAAACTTCTAATCTGAGCCATTAGCTGAGTTGGAGTTGGTGAGAAGATGATTTCATGCTGTGCGCTGTGAGCTCATCCTCGGACATGTGCGCCTCTAGGTGCAGTGACTCCATCCTGTGTGACCAACAGCTTCCATGTCAAAAAACAGGGTTCACAAAGAACTACTTGATCCTTTGTTTCTGCTTAATGTCAGCGACTACGTAGGACTACAGCATCACAGAGAATACATCTCTCTAATGGAGATGGAATCCTGTTGTACTTACCACAGCGTTACAATCTGAAGTAATCATGAATACGGACACTTGCTGTAACGTTACTTCTCGTAGAACGGAAATACCACGCTAACCATTTCACCACTTAAGACCGCAGCGTTATATTAAGCACCCTTTGATGCGCAGTGCACCCAAAATATCTAATTCCCACTGTCAGGATGAACGCTTTATCGGTTAATCCCGCTGTATTCATCCACCAAAACACAATAGATTGCTAAAGCTAGCTAACACCAAACACTATTTAAAATGGAAATTGAGACCTGTTTGGGGAAGATATGACCGCCGAATTTAGCACAAAACCTCAAGCAAGTATAAATGCCATCGAATTATGTAATAAGATCTGCATATGCTTGTCAATAAGCAAGTCAACATTAAATTGGAAGTTCATAATATAACGTTGGTAATCTGGAAAGAAAGTACCCGGATCAAATGTTAAACAGGTGACATTATCGTTCTTGTCCTTACAGCTGGAAATTAATTGAACGGCATCTGATATCTCATAAATGAACGTTAACTTAACTGAAAAAGTGTACAGTTTCTTCGCTTCCATAGCGCTAACTGTGGCTGCAACCCACGTCAAAGATGACACACACCGACCTAAACAACACGCAAAAGCAATATAATGACGAATGTCGAAATACAACTTACTTATTTCCTGATACTTTCATTGACACATACATAGAGACAGCTTGACAGGGAAGGAGTTGGAGCGAGTTTAGTTTTAGCGGCAAAGAAGGATTTCAGTATGAGCTGCTGCTATTGGCCAGATGACCGGAGGGGGAGGGTTTAACAGTAGGAAGTGAGATGCGCTCCAAAACCTCACCGTTATACCCCGTTAACGTGTTTATATAGTTGATATAAACAAAGCACTGACCTGTGCTTTGTTTACTTTGGTTCAGCCCCCACACCAGCTTCTGCTGTCTGGCCATCACCTGGTATAGATTAAATGACATACCTCTGCCCTCTCATGTGTAACATGTACAGCTCCCCACACTCGCCTCTTCAAATGAGGCACGCCGGTGTTGCTTCCGAGTTCTCTCAATAGTCGGCTCCGGGCCGCGGCCCGCGGGAAGGCGTGGCTGACGGGCTGGGAGATTGTAGGCCCAAGTGTGAGGGACTATAAGGGGTTGAAATAGGAATGGGACACCACTTTGCACCATGACAACGACAAAAAAAATATGATATACAAATGTCGGTATTTATTTTATATTATCGACTCCGTGATTTGAACGTCTTGGCTCTTTCCTCACAAGATGAGAGGTAATTTCAAATCATCTATTTGCTTGTTTTTGTCAAAACGCAATGACAAAATTTAATATTTGATGAATAAAAATAAATAAATATCCTCTGATTTCATGTTTTTTTTTGTTCTATCTTTAACCCTTAATGTTTCTGAGTAAATATAATATGACAGGCTGAACACACTGAGCCGTCCTCTTTGTTTACCTCTAATGGTCATCTCCTACTCTCTTTTCTTTGACAATCTCCCAAGAGAAATTACCTAATTACCTCCCAAAATTCAGAAAATGCTTACATGTTATAAACAATTTACTTATTACACAAAATGTGTGGGTTTCATTTTTACATACATTGGCCAATACATAGGATAATATATTTCTCAGTTGAACTGGATTTTCTCGTGCCATATCCCAGCTTTATGTCATGACGTGAACGCATCATAAAACGTGTCTCATTTCCCAGTTTCCTCTGCTCTTCCTGCTCCACCGCAGAAGACTGAACGAAAACAAAATGCGATAGTTTAACTTCACCGATGAGCTGTGATCAATGACAGCGTTATTAACGCTTCTCGGCATATTTCACTGACTGTATATTTAAATGTCACATTTCTGTACCTGAGGCTTTGGCAGAAATTCAAACTTAACCATGCAGTTCTCTCCCACCAACGGAGATTTTATGTTCGTCTCTTCGACAGAGGCTGAAGGTAAGCTAATGCCAGCAGAGTTCCACAGCTAGCAGGCCTCAGAAGAGCCAACCTCTTATCAGTTTACGTGATGTGTTACAGTAGAGCAACCACCCAAGTACTAATGCAAGCAGTCTAAAACATGTACTTACGTGTGGGTCGACATTGTCCTATTCTAAATAGCCACTCTTAACGTCACCTATTGAAATGGGCAAGCTATCGTTAGCTTTGCTAACTAGTTCAGTACCGATACGTGTCGTCAACGAACGTAGCAAACGAACAGCATTGGAGAAGTTGGACTCTTTATAACATATTGCTTATTGTCCACGTTACGAGGTCATTAAAACAAGACGTTTAAGACAAACGTTACCATTCAAGTAATTTCACTTAATGACGAAGCACAAAACATATACAACATAAACATAGAACTTGTAAACACTGGTCACTGACAACCTTCCCACCACCCCATGTAGTCTAAACGAGTACAATTAAAAGGTCAGATTATACACAATAACCAAAACGAACAAAATGCAACATAAAATACAATACTATAAACTGAGAATAGAGACTCAAAATGGGGCTAAAACGTTTACTCTAATCTGTACCGACGTTGACGTTAATATACTTTAAGATGACGCATCAGTGCAAGTCAAGTACATGTTAGTAAAAGCTGAAATGTCCTTAGATATTAAACATGTATAGTATATGAACTATGTACACTATGCACATACAGATGGATATACGAGGTAAGGCTTCACTGCCAGAGGAGATATGTTGAACAGGGTGATGTCAGCTGGCATGAAGCGTTTAACTATGTCTGCGAGGACTGTGCTTCAACCAACCTCTACTTTTGTTATTGGTTAAGCCAATTACTTCACATTGTCCAAATAGTTGATGATTAATTTTCTGTTGATTGATTAATGGTTTCAGCTCTAGGTTGATGTTTTTCTACTCTAATGTTCAATGATGTTTACGCGGTACTGATATAAAAAAAACACTGATATAGTGAGTGCTTGCGAAATATGGATTCAAAAAAACTTGAGCTCCATGTGTAAATTGTTATATGTATGTGTTTCCTGTTCCGCACCCACCTATGATTAAACGGTTAACTCTCCAAACAAACGTGTTTTCCACAGAGCTCAGCGGCACCATCAATGCCCCGGATATTAAGCTAAACGTGGGCAGCGAGAGCGGTAAAGATCCATATGCCACCACCTTCCTGAGGCAGCGAGGCTACGGCTGGCTGCTGGAGGTAGAGGAGGATGACGACGGTGAAGAGAACAAACCTCTTCTGTGAGTACATGTTGTGTGTATCAAAGGGTAGGGCTGGGTAATCAGTCAAAGAGTTATCAAAACCAACATTTTCACTCTCGAACCAACCAGACTTTAATCTAGTCAATATGTTTTAGTAACTCATTATCCTACTCCTGTAAGGCACCTGAAAGTATAACAGCAGCTCTAACCCTACAGGCCTACAACCAGTACACAGCCAGTCAGCGTATGTTGATACAACGCCGGTCTGGCTGCGATCAGGATAGGCTGGTTCGCTGGCTTTTTCGGAGCAGAGTCAGGTCAACAGTAAACCATAAATGGGTGTTTGTTTACTAGCAGCTGAGGTTAAATCAGAGCAGTAAAAGAGTCTCCTCTGTGTTCCTCCACATATTCTGGAGACTAGAGCTGGTTGTTTCAGACGTGTAACAGAGATAATGTCTCTGCACACCCTAAACATCCTGCTGAGGAAATACTTTGACAGTCACAAGAGATTTTAAATCAAACACATTTTACTTTGATATTCCTGTTTTAACAAACAGAATACTGAGTATGTTACATAAATGTAATTTCTCATGAACCACGATCTTCTGTGCATTGTTCAGTACATTTCCTCATTTGAAACATGTCAATTGATGCTCCCACAATGCACTGCAGGCATCAGCTTTGAAATACCAAGCACAACCAGCAGTGTTTAAGAGAAAGCTCACTATGGGTGGGGGTGTAACGATACACGTATTCGTATTGAACCGTTCGGTACGGGGCTCACGGTTCGGTACGCATTCCGAACCGAACAATACGTTTGAATAATATTAAATTGCTTTTGAAAAATAAAATATAGCTGAAATTGGTGGAGCCGCTGCGCTCAAACATGGCAACCCACCCGACGTAACGTGCTGTCCTTCCCTGATTCGCCACGCTCCTATCACGTGACCGTTCCCGGATGTTCACAAACAACAACAGTCTTGATTAACGGACGACTACTAGGTTAATTCAACATGAACAACTGAATAGAGGGGTTGTTGACCTTGTTGTCTTTACTAGCAGCTGTTGTTCAGTTAAAGTCTGCATTTCTGTGGAGGAAGCAGCTGTTATTGGAGCGATTAGTGAGCGGCGTGACCAGCGGCGTGACCAGCGGAGGTATCAGCGCTACGGAGCGGACGTCTGAAGTCACGGTTAGCGGCTTCAGGGAGGAAAGACACAAAACGGAGGACTTTCCTTTTCTTATTATTGTTTATTTTGTTCTGTACAACTATGTAAGACAAGTTAACACACATAAACTATAAAGGAACAAAACATGGATTGCTCTCCAGTATGACAGAGACTTCAGCAGAGCTACGAGTGAGAACAGACAACAACGACACCGAGGGAACGAGTGAGAGACGTGTGTTGACCAGATTTATTGACCCATAATCTAGTAAACCTTTGTGTGTAAGTGTTGATTTATTTTAATGTAAATATGAGGTGAGAGAGACAGAGAGCAAGACCCCCAGCACTTTAACTAAGTCTGAAAAATAGAACTTTTAAAACTTTCTACAAACTGTCTGTTTGAGTTCATAGAGGAAGATTTTAGAGAAGATCTTAAGTGTCAAACACGACCTTTCATTATTAAAGACTACTTTATTACTTTGTCATATTATTTTACGTAAGCAATTGTACTTCCTGTTTACACCGGCACCATCACGCCCAGTGTACGTGAAGAGTCATGTAATATTCATTACAAACTCTCCCCGCAGCGTTTAAGTGTCTGTTCCCTCCTGATTCAAACAGGTTAAAGGTATATCCCTACTCTGTAGTGATAAACAAGGCTGTAGGAACATGCTTAATGCTATTGACACTACTCCTTCACCAGCCCATTTCTCCAGACCATAATTCCTGCTTTGTAAAAGAAAACAAAAACCCAAGCAGAGAATCAAATCAGACACGCCCACTTGAGTCTCACCAGCGAGGATTTAGCATTTCTGCTTTTTTGCTGTATTGAAAACGTACCGAACCGTGGCACCACTGTATCGTATTGAACCGAACCGAGAATTTTGTAAACCGTTACACCCCTACTATTTAGTCAACGTTTTTATGTATTACAGTTGGAGTTCTTGAGACTACAAAAACACTCGCTTTTGCACAATGTTGTTACAGAGTGAAGCCTCTCTTACCTCATAAACCAATCTTTGTCTGAGTACAGACACTGTCCTGCAGAGAGCACACAAACTGTTCATCAAGATACAAAGGTGATGTGACCTACTGACGGCAACGCTTGTCATTTTAACCGGTGAAAGAGACAGCAGTAGTATTAATTATTGGTCAATTAAGAATTTATTTCTTTAATACAATATTGTCTTCCTTTTAACTGACTCCAAAATGATACTGTGGCTGCGGGAAAAAGGTCTGAGTAGAGTCGTCAAAGATGTTGGACGCGCCTCATGGCGCTTTGCGACGTGTTCGGCCATTTAAAACAATAGATGTGCTTCAAAACGTGTGTGTCAGACGCTTTCAGTGCGTTTGGACCTTTAATCGTCACCGACTTAAAAACGACAAATCATTTTGATATAGGTTTTAGCTGCTTTCTCCCAGCGCTATTTAAGGATTAATTCAACCTTGAATCATGATGGACAGCTGCTGCTGCAAACCACTGAGCAAGCATGTTCCTCTTTATGCCACATCCCAGTCAGCAGGATATACAGGATTGTAACTAGAGAGGATATGAAGAAAAAAAACAACAAATTCACAGTATGTACAACATTATGTCATTGGACAACCCCAAAGCTCTTTCAGACCAGCCAAACATCCACCACTCTTTAATAAGAAAAACAACAGCAGCAAGAAAATGTGTGGAAGGAAAGTAATAGCGGCAGCAATTTGAATACTCGTCACTTGCAAGTAGGTTTACCAAGGAATTTTTTTTTTTTGCACAACCGCAGTTTCCCGCAGGAACCAAAAAGTGGCTGTTGTGGTGGTTTTACAAGCAGAGGCAGATTCAAGTGACTGGCACAGATCTGATGTCAATAAAAAATCTCTGTCAGCCCTGTTGATGTAGACTCACTTGTTGCTATTTTTATATTTTCTTTTGCATCGTCTCAGTGCAAAGCATGTCATTATAATGTCATCTTGTCTGTGTGAGAAGGGAGGAGCTGGACATCGACCTGAAGGACATCTATTACAAGATTCGATGTGTGCTGATGCCAATGCCATCACTGGGTTATAACCGGCAGGTGGTCCGAGACAACCCGGACTTCTGGGGCCCCCTAGCCGTGGTGCTCCTCTTCTCCATGATCTCCATCTATGGACAGTTTAGGGTGAGCAGTAAACACAATAAACACCACTATGTCGCCCGTCATCCTCTTCCAGAATTGTCTGTTAGCACTTTTCCACTGTATTTTACCAGCTGGTACATTTTGGATATACATCATAAAAGAAGCTTACAGCGTGACCAACTATGATAATATTAGGTCCTTTCTATGTAGTGTTTGGTTGGCAATTGACCCTTCACTAAGCCCCGCCCCCTGCTTCAACTCCATCATTGATCTCAAAATATTTATCTCCTTCCTCTCTGTGTATCGAGTATCACTATTGCACAACGTTTCACCATGACTAGCTCCAAACCCTCTAAACCAGCCTGAGCATGAACAAACCTGAAAGCATTGATGAAAGTCTATGGAGCAGAGCCGAACAGCTGTCGGACCCTGGTCGGAGCTGGCTGATGCTACGCTATGATTGGCCAGTCTGTGTTCGAGGGGCGGGACTTGTTTCATGCTGAATCCAGGCCACTGTGTTTTATTTTTCAGTTTGCTCCCCTGCACATAGTATGCTCCTTTATTTTTCTTTAATCTTGTTTCATCTTTTTATTGTCTCTGTACTGTTTGGGGGTTTGTCTAATACGTATGTGGTAACCGTTGTTGAAATCATCCTTGTTGTGAACAAAACATATTCTTGTCCAGTTGCATCTGACAGTTCTGCTGCTAACACCTGAAAGTACCTGGAACTTGCATTTCCTGTAGTATCAGCTTCTGAGTAGTGCTTCAATTTAGATCCAGGAAGTCTTCCCCAAAGCATGTGGAGAACAGTGGAAACAAAGGCAGTGTCTGTGATAACGAATACACACAATGTTTGTTTAGTTCCTGATGTTGAAAGGACTTTGCATCACTCACAGACTGTAATAACAATTATCAGAAACCAATGAGCCTGTTTATATACTTGAGTTAAAGGTAGAAATCCACAACTTCAATTTAAAGACCTCAGAATTCATGTAAAGTCATATTTGTGGAGCTGTTCTTTACCACATATGGTTGAATATGTGGATGGTATGGTGTGGATGTCAGTGAATTGTCATGGTAACTTCTCACAGTTTTCAGGAAGGATGCTAAACTCTGCTTCTACTTCGCAGGTTGTGTCTTGGATCATCACCATCTGGATATTTGGATCACTAACAATCTTCCTGCTGGCTCGTGTTCTCGGTGGTGAGGTAAGTGCCACTGACACCTAGTTATCTTCTGCAGCCAGTCAAAGTACAGTCCGACCTGACTCAAACTTGTTCTTATGGAGTCCATTGTTCTCTTGAGCAGGTTTCCTTCGGCCAGGTTCTTGGAGTGATCGGATATTCCCTTCTTCCTCTCATCGTTATAGCCCCTCCGCTCCTAGTGATCAGAGGGTTCGATGTGGTTGCCACACTAATCAAAGTGAGTCAAAGACCACACATTACCAAAAACATCTGAATCTTATTTTTCATGTTGTGTAAGAACAACATGCTCTGAATTTATTTGACTTTAAAATTCCATATATGTTATCAAAAGCATTCATTTAGTCATGAACAGAGTATTGAAAAGAGTAGCTCCATGTAGTAAAAGAAATCCTAAAGAGGGGGATTTGAAAAAAAAAAAAGTCATCCCAGAGCCCTTCAAATAACGTGATGTATATAGATTTTTAAATTTACAATTATATAAAATAAAGATGTGCTGTAAATCTTCATATTTAAGGAGCCAGACGCAGGTTATCTGTGACATTTTTGCTGAATAAATTGAAGTTTGAGTTATTACCGCAGTTACAAGTATTCCTCTTGGGTCCACATGGATTGGTTAGTTATTACATACAGTACATTCAAAATGATTACTCCACTTATTCACAATTTGTTATGTTGCCCTAAAGCATCCCCTGCTTTATGGTCTATTTGATTCTAAATGGACCATCATTTACTAAATGAACATCATGCTGTATTGAAGAAGACTTGAAACTAGAGATTGAGACCATAAACTCATGTTTACAATGTTTACTGAGGTAATAAATCAAGAGAGAAGTAGTCATTTTCTCATAGACTTCTATACAACCAGAGGAGTCGCCCCCTGGTGGACATTGGAGAGAATACAGCTTTAAAGCAATTGGTTTCACTTTTCAGACCCAGAGGTTGCCGCCTGGTGCCTCAGCACAATCCTGCCTCTGAGCTCTGCAGGCAGTTCCTTCCACTTCATAGCTCTGAATTATAAAGACAGGCGTGTGTCCTATCAGTTGAATCTACAACAGGTGGACTCCACTCAAGGTTTAGAAACATCTCAAAGAGCAATCAAGAGAAATGGAAGTCACCTGAGCTTCAAGTGTCAGAGCAAAAGTTCTGAATATATCAATGTGGTATTTCAGTTTCTTCTTTTTACTACATTTTCAAAATGTCTGAAATCCTGTTTTCATTTTGTCAATATGGGATCCATTGTGTGTAGACTGATAAGGAGGAAGATTAATAAACAAATGTCTCGCATAAAGATGCAACATAACAAAAAGGGAAGTGGTCTGAATACTTTCTAAATGTAACATGTGAGGAAAACCTTTACTTGGTATGAGATGATGACTACAAAAGTCCCAATGTAGTTTTTCTAAAAGCAACACCCTCCTTCATGCTACTTGAAGTAATCCGGGTTCTGTGGTGGAAATATTGATGAATAAATGAGATGATTCTTTCTCGTCTGTTCTGTTCTTTCAGCTGTTCGGAGTGTTCTGGGCTGCTTACAGTGCTGCGTCACTGCTCGTCGGAGATGAATTTAAAACGAAGAAGCCCCTCCTCATCTATCCCATTCTCCTTTTGTATATCTACTTCCTGTCATTATATACTGGTGTGTGACTGGATGAATTGAAACTGGACCCTTTCATGGACACTGACCCTGGGGCATGGAGGGGGAGGCAAACTACAGAACCAGGATTTTTTTTTTTAAAGGTGTTTATTTCTTTTTTAACTCTATTAAATTGTAGGCCGTGGGGATGTTAGGAATATATAACAATGTATATAGTTTTGTCCCTCATGTCTTTGGTCAATAAAATGCATATGCTTTTACAGCTTAAACGTCGGGTTGCAGGCTTCTCGTTAAACAGCAGGAAATAGACCCAGGGCTGTATATTCATTTAATGGTTTCTTTTTTACTCTTGATCCAACTGAAGAATGTGGTGCCAAATATGTGGTGTTCATGCTGAAGGAAGAATTCAACAGAAGAGACAGTACCACAAAAAAAGAAAGATTGTTGAGCTCAATGTTTTTCATTGTTATGCACTGTTGTGTACTATGAGTGTCCATCTATGCTTTTCATTTTTCACAGGCTTGTTTTCTTAATTTATGGACTTTAGCAGCAAAAGCAAGTGGACTGGGGCAGTTGGAGGGACACAAACCATTGTCTGCTAAATGTGCCTTGTTTTCCCACCCTCGACTCCTGTTTGCCAGCCGTTTAATACAGAAATATAATCATTGGATCAATAATTACAGTAAATTAATAGTTATTTGGCAGTGTTTCCTTTTCTGTCATTATATAACGCAAACACAGCTAGCCACCACAGTGCTGTATATAGAGTGCTGCAGGAATGAGTCCTAGTACTGGATAAAAGTCAGCATTTCTGCACTTTGTCTCAAAGTTTTTTGTTTTTTTTTGTTAGATTCCTGAAATAAGGTAAGAGATTTCCACATTTTGTGCTACAACATAAAATCCGTCAGTAAGTATCCCTCCAGTGAATTTAGTAGTTTTTTTCTTGTTTAAAAAAAAAAGAAGTGTCTAGATGGAGACGTGTAGTTCCTTTATAGCCTGACGTTGGCTTTTTACTCTTGGGGATTGCATTACACTTCAAAAATTACAAAGGTGGTATTCATTCGTGAAGATTATCTTGCAGAACAAAAAGAGTAAGTATAATAAACGTTTGTTTGCCAGAGAGCTTATTTTCTGTAATAATACAAAATCCAATGTAAAAATCCCATTGACTTTTTATTGAGGGAACCAGTGCGACGCTAACTTCCAGGATGGCATACAAAAATACGTCATGCCTGCAGCTTTATATTGTAACAGCCATTAAATGGTCTCAACAGGTTGGATTCACCCACAAAACCTCATTGGTTTGTAATTATAAGATAAAAATAATAGCTGTGTCCCAGTTCCGATAATACATTCTTATTCTATAGGTTTTAACACTGGAAAAGTAAGTGGGGCCCAGGAAATGTCCCTGGACACAAGACACTGAACCCCAAATCACTCCCGATGGTCAGGCCAGCACTCTGCTTTTTAATAACAGGATGCTTCATGTGTGACATCAGACATCCGTCATACTGCGACTTTGGAATCCAACTGCCAGTTTAACTTCACGAAGAGAAAGCTCTTTCTGGAACTGTCTCACCACCACCACCCAAAATATTTTTCTTTTTTAGACTCAGCTGTGAGTGAGCTGTTCCTCCAGTTCCTTTGTGCATTGCATTGTGGGAGAAAAGTCCATCAACAGCGCACTCAAAAAAATGCCTGTATTTGGTATGCATGCTGGTTTGAGCAAAGGCTACTTAACTTTACAGTGGGAAACTGTTCTTAAAGCCTGCTTAAAATGAGTACACAGTATAGATTTGGGACACGTCATTAGTTTACCATATTATCCAGTTCAATCTGAGGCAAGCAGTGTGCAAACAGAAATGCAAATATCCAACACACCAAAAAATAAATATAAAAGTTCAAAAGTGCAAGTCCATTGATCAGTCTATTCACAAGGTAGACCAGTTCTTCCACTGTGGCTGTTCACAAGTCTAGAATAAAACTGGAATAAAACCAAATCTCCTATTTGTTCTACATGCAGGCAATCTGGAACTCATTCATGATGGCAGCAGTGTGATTATCGATCATCATAACAGCTTTTTTTGAGGACTTGCTCAGCATAAGATGTACTAGGGATGTTTGTCTTTGTGCTCGACATAGAGGTGAAATCTGATTGGATAAAAGCTCTACTTAAAACAAGCTGCAGGCTGGAAGCAGAGCAACTGAGGAAGACAGTAGCAGTGCAATGAGATAATAAGCTAATGGGAAAAATAATTAGAATACATGTAATGTATTTATGAAACATTAACTTATAAAATAGCTATAACTTTGTGATTCTGTTAAGGCCAGCAGAGAAGGCCTTGCTGGCCCTGACGGCCCACCACTGTGTTTTAGTAATGTGTTTCTCTCTCTGAATAATTGATTGGTATGCAGGAGCAAGCAAAACAGAGTTAAGGTCAGTGGTACCAAAGCCAGGCAGAGTTAAAGATCTGTATGCTCTGGGAACAGAACAATAACATTTGTCCAATTTGAGTCTCGTAGGACATTCAATGTACTGATGAAATGCAGGTAAAGCACCATCCAGTGGACAGTGGTTGCAGTCAGCTGGTAGAAACTTACTTTGTCCATCTAAAACTTTGGATGCATTGTTTACATTTACGTCGGCATGATTTACACTTTTGCATATATAAGTTGCTGGACTTCTCAAGGTAAATAATGTGGGCAAAGAGACATGGTCAGCCATACATACTTTCTCCTGTAACTACAGTCTTACACCACTTGTGCTCTTGTTTAGTTCTTGACTCAGTTCAGTGGCCGCACTGCTTCATACACACAAACCACATAATCAAGTTCTTTATAAATGTAAAGTTTATTAAACTACTAACTTCATAAACACAACTACTAACTGCTAAACAGACAGCACAATGGATACAGCGATAAACTACTGATGAATGAGGACCACCGTATTTACCAGGTCAAATCAAGCCAATGAAATTAAATTAGTGCACCGTTCAAGGTTTTGAAGCAAGTCAATATAAATTCAATATTGATGGGAGATCCTACTTGTGATTTATGCTTCTTAACTAGCATCAACCCCACTACCAAAAACAAATGTGTTGTTTCACCTGGCGCTTCTGATAGCAGCAGGACGTCTGAGAGCTGCCGTCCTCAGGCATTCTTTGGTCGAACGGGGCAACTCGGCTTGAGTCCATCTCAGCAGGCAGGAGGACGATACCATCTTCACCCACCCCCACTCACATCATGTCTGCTTAATACACAGATGGTACTGCAGTTGCCTTCTTGGGATTCAGGAGCGATTGCTACTTTTAATGACATTCTTGTGAAAGTGACAACCAAAACAGCACACGCCTCTTTGTGCAGGCTTAAATGTTGTTGTTTTCTGGTTTCATTGATCACCAGGCAGCTGCTGTAATGCAACTTAAGAAAGTAACTTCAAAGTCAAAGGTCAGTTCCACTGTTGAAATCTGCCCTATGTGTTCAAAAAGATTACCAAGTTCAGTGACAACATGTAGCCTACCCACTAGGAAAAATGGAGACTAAGTGCAGTTAATGGCAGCATTGTCCATCCCTTACCAGTCTTATATACAGCCCAGACTGTGACTTGCTAGGCTGCATCACAAGCTACATAACTTTCAGACAAACAACACAAGCTCAATATGACTACAGCCCTGCTAGCAGCTCTGTGAGGCTGCTCTTTGAGCAAAGGACAAAGTAGTCTACAGTTGAGGCAGTTGATTTGAGTTCATTTGTTTTACAGGTATTTGTTCATAATCCAAAGTCAAATGGAAAATATGACTTGATGGAGGTAGATGAAAAGTCAGAGGATCACCAAAGTTATTACAATTCATTGTGAGGGTAACACGAATGTCCAAACCAAATTGCATGCAATCCTTCCCACGAATGTTGAGGCATTTCACCCAAAGCCACCTGCCATAGTTTTGGTGGCACTAGAGGAAAAGTCATGAGGACACATCGTCTGGGAAGCGTGAATGTCTGTACCACATTCTTTGCCAATCCGTCCAGCAGACGTGGGCACCATGGATATCTGAACCGACTTTCATGAGAATCTACTGAGCTCTTCTTTGAACACAAAATATTTCACAAAAAGGCCAGAAAATCCTGGAGACATTACAGGAAAAGTCAGGGGATCAAAAGGATTCATTATCCTGGGACAGACTGGCACTGCCATTCTTAGAGCCATGCTGCTAATATAAAAAAAACTTTGGTAACTTGAGGTTGGGGAAATGGTACCACTGCATGCCAGTGACTGTGGTTAAGATACAAACCTGCAAGCTCCCAATGACACCAACAATCTATAATGTTGGTGTCAACATTAACTTGTTGAACAAGACAAACTATAATCCACGAGGTCAAAGTGAACACCACTGCTAACTAAACACTGCCCCACAGCTCCCTGTGTAAGTTTGTTTACAATGTCTGTCTGTACACCTTTTGGTTCCACTGTTGGTTAAATGAACACTTGATTTTTCCAGAAAAATGAAATCAATCCATTCGGTAATCAAGAAACTTTAGCAATCGATTTAAAAATCGATTTGGCATGAATTTTGTTTGTAAAATGACTTGTGATTTCATGTATGGACCTTCAAAAACCATTAAAACCCCAAACTTTCCCAGTTCTAATTTCTACATGCTACGTGCCATAGCAGAGGTGTTTTATTAACATATAGTGCTTGTGCCAGTGCCAGAAGGTGAAATTCCATGCGTATTTGAATGCAACCAGTGGCATTTCTGCTTGCATCAGTGAGGGGATACATTTACAACCTATACAACAGACTTAATGGCCTTCAGTGGACACTATTCTTCTGAGGCAACCATTGCAACATAGAAGAGAAAGAGGTCAAAGAACAACCAAAACGTAATTTGGTTTTATGACCCTTACCTTATAAGTAATGAAACAGAAACCACTGCATGAAATCAGTTGTCAGTTGTTATAGTCTACTTGCATAGTGATAAATGGCATCTAGAGGTTTCAGAGTGGAGGTTGATGTATGCTTATAGATTCCATCACCATAATCTAGGCAGCTCCTGATGCAGGTTGAACTTCCTTAGCTTGCACAGGGAGTTCATCGTCTGCTGGGTCCTTTCCCTGGTGGTGTCTATGTTGGAAGTCCATTTACTGTCCTGGGATATGGTGGATCCCACAAACCTGAAGGGTTCCACAGCAGACAGGGTTGTTAATAGGTTGACAAGAAAAAACAGTGTGTGTGTGTGTGTGTGTGTGTGGTCTTTACTGTCATACTTTGGAAAACATAAATATGTTAGGCAATCATGCAACAACATACACATTAAAATGTCTTTTTTAAAAGGTTGTCCAACAGCCAAGCAAAAAGTGATTTACTACAATGTAACTTACTCTTGATGGACATTTTCCCTGCAGACGTTTCAACTCGTCATATCTGGAAAAGCACAGCTGGAACCAACAACTGTCCAACTATGGTTCAGTTCTGTCCAGTCAACCATTCTAGTAATACAGTCATTATTAGCGCTAATAATTAGGCTACACCTGCTCTTTTACTGCAAGTCAAAAGGACTATAAAAAAGGCCTATACTTATACTCATGACTGTGATCGCCTGACCATTATAATGTACAGGGAACAGACCATAGTGCTGCCTGGCCCTCTCCTCTGAACAAACATATTCAAAACCCTCTCAAAAGTGTTAAATACATCTTCCAAAATATAAATTCAATGCTATTGCCTTTGCACCACATGACTGTTCCCTCTTAAATGGAAGGATGAAACACCTACAAGAATTGCATAAGAGATTCAGTGCAATTTCTGGAGGTAGAGAGTTATATTCACTGTCATGGGGCCTGCTGTAAAGTTTTGTCAAGCAAACATTCAGCATCAGCTATGTTGAATAATAAATATTGAGTATGATATTGGATGATGCAAATATTGCCGAAATGTGCAGCAAAACTGTCAGCAATACTGTTGCAAAGACATTCACGGTGAAGATGTAGTGTATTTTGACAGCAACACGTCTTTTCTTCTCGCTTTTTATTTTATTTTTCTATGATTGATGTTACTGTTCCTTTTTATTGCTTGTTACATATAATTTGATTATTAATGTATTCTTATTTTAATTTTCTTTACCGGGGGAGGGTTACGGGATCTGAGGTCCTTATTGCTGTTGAAATGTTCACTGTTTTTTTTGATTTTTTTTGTGTCTCCTTATCTTTTTTGAGATACAGAACAGAAATGAAAACGTGACAGATTTATAAAGCAATGGTGAAAATGAGGACATAAAACGGGAACACCTTATAATATAAATCAATCAAGTAAATATATATATATATATATATATATTAGGCTTCATATTTAAGGCTCTAAAATGAAGGTTTGATTCAAAGTGTCAGATTCAACTGTGTGGTAATACTTGAGGTAGAATTCTGTGGTGGATATAACTAGACTGCATCAATTGTGTATCCACTGCAGGGCACAGTAGGCTAAAGATTGAAACATTTGTTACTTCATGTTTGTTGCAGAGCCATTATTTTGATAGTTAATTATTTATTCCACCCTTTGTTCTCGTTTGCACTTGGTGTTATCGCGGGAAGTGGCAGGAAGATACGCTAGCTCCGTTTACCTATCGTGTCACTGACAGAAAGCTCAGCCTGGAGTTCCTCAGCGCTGATGGTGAATAGCCGCTGCTGCGGTAACGGGCGGAGGAGAAGAAGCCGCATAAGGAGTCAGCAGTGGCAGAGGAGTGATAGTTCGGAGTTAGTCTCTTAGAATTAGCAGTATTACGTGTATTATTTAATCCTTACAAACCCCAGAAGCAAGGGAAGGGAAAAATAAGGAAAGATGGCGGCCGCGGCCTCGCCGGGCTCCGGCTCGTCCACCCCTTCTGACTGGATTGTACTGAGAGACGGTTGCCTGCGTTGCGACGAGGAGGGCCTGCGAAGCCTTTCCTACCACCCGGCCCTCAACACTATTTTGGCCGTTACTAGCCGCGGCAGTATCAAAGTAATTGACGGCACTTCGGGGGCCATTCTCCAGGCTTCAGCGTTGCACGGTAAGCACCGGAGCCCCGTGTCATGCCCTGACACCAACGGTTTCAGTTTTGAGAAACCAACCACTGGTTGTCAACAGACACTTACGTTAAACGCGACATTGGCTGAGTTGTAACCTCAGCAGGCTAACGCTAGCTGTTCCAAGCAGTTGTCTGTGGGCTTAACGTTAGTTAGATTATTTGGCAAACAGGATTCGTTCTGCTTGTTCACCGTCTTTGGACGTTGATCTGTTTGTAGTCCAAATTAAACTAGTGCTTCTTGAACGCTAGTGTTCGCCACTGTTTACTATATGCCTCTACCATCCAAGCTATTAGCTAGCTGGTTAACTTAGCACAGCGCTAGTTAGCCGGTCAATCTTTCCTGTCAGTTTCTGTCATTCTAGTGGTCAGTCACGATATGTCGTTAGAATTACAATTCATATATTTTGCATCTAGAGTAGCACACCTACCATTACCTAGCCCAAGGTTATGCAGTGTGTACATGGGAATTACGGTGATAGCCACCAAGCTAGCTAGCGGCACGTTAGCTGCTTAACTTACAGCCTATGGTGTATATACTGTCAACCATTTAAAAGCATTGGTGTGATGCTAAAAGTGACCTGACTGGGTGCTGCATAGTTGGTGTATTGGGTCCGTACATGGATGCTGGGCTCTCTTGGCTAATTCAGTCAAAAAACCCTTGGTGGTATTTCATGTCTGCACGCAAAGTCCCGTCAAAATGTAATTACTGACAAGACTTGGCTATTAGTTTCCCTAGCAGCGCTCCACACTGACCTGGCAACTCTGCTTTGTTTACACATCATCATAGCATGTATCCTAAAGACAGGGGTTTGAAGTTAGCATTTGTTTACATCTTAAATTGTGCTAATCTGCAGATGGATGCCAGTGTTTGTGCTTTAACCCTGACTTTTATCATTGAACAAAAGATATATTTCCAAGTGTTTACTGCAATATAGAGTTATTCTTGAAATGGGAATAAGACCATAGCTCTCCCATTAGCTAGTACTCAGGTTTGTTGTTAATGAGGTCGTTGATTGTAAACAGTTTCAGTAAACACATAATTACTGTACTATTATAGAACTGCTGTTTTGCACTGGCGATTGTGTTTGACAGGCTGCAGCCCATTTGAGGATTGTTTCAGATGACCTTAAGATGAAGCATTTTTGGTAAAGTAGGACTTTTAGGAGGACATATTTGTTTGATGGAATACTCGTAATAATGATAATAATACACATTAATTAAATGGCAATTTTCAAAACAAAGTTAAAAAGTGCTATACATTGTTGGAATAGTCTTACAAACAACCACCGTCACCATACAAAACTTTTCTTTAAAAAACTATTTTTAGAGCAAGGTTTATGCTGCAAATAAGATTAGCACAGTAATGCAGACAGACAGTGCTCCCATGTCTGAATGTGTCGGCCTTGTGATTACCTGGAGCCCTGTCCAGGGTGTACCCCGCCTCCAGCTAGGAGAATATTAATAAAATATTTCTCCCATGGAAGCTGTGTATGTTCATAGTGTACATAAAAGTGCCGCTATACAAACCCTCTGAAAGTGAAATGGAATGGACTTACATCCACACTGAGCTGTTGGATCTTCTGTTGACTTTACTTTCAGTTTACTTTAATCTCAGTTCATTTTCAGCAGAAGCTCCCAGTTTTTTAAAACAGGACTGTTGTCGTGTCTGTCGTCCTCAGATGTCTGTCGATTGTGATTGATGGAACGTTTAGCCCAGTTGAACCGTCTCTGGATCGATGGTTATGTCATATTTTAATTAGAATTTATTTAATTTTTTATGGACAATGTAATTTAACATAGTTCCAATACAGAGCATGAAACCAGATTTGTTTAGGGTTGTAACGGTATACCGGTGTCATGGTGAAAAAAAATGGTGTGTGAGAGAGAGTTAAAGGTACAGACAGGAGCAGTCTGGCTGTGCTGTTGCGCACCTACAGTGTTAACACTTGTTCATTATCATAGGGCATTATTTTAAAAGCCTCCCTTACAGAATCGCTACAGTCCTAGACATTGATGAGCACAAGTTACTGCTACTGTAGTGTAGCAGAAAATGCAATACTTTGGCTAAGTGTTGTAAACAAATGTGTTACTACATTTTTGCTGTTGCCTCCAAGTGAAAACATGTTGTTGTAAATTTCAAGACAGAAATCTGCTTCATTAAATTACATTAGTCATTTAGCAGACGCTTTTATCCAAAGCAACTTACAATTCAGATGCTATTACACCGTAGGCACAGCTACGGGAGCAATTTTTTGGGGTTAAGTGTCTTGTTCAAGGGTTAAGTGTCTTGCACAACATCGACATGTGCCTACCGGAGCCGGGGATCGGACTGCCGACCCTCTGATTGAAGGATGGCCCTGCTCTCCACTTAGCCACAGTCGCCCCTCACTGGACTTAAATCATTCTTCTGTTAACTTCATCTGTTCAGTGACCAGTTATTGTCACTAAGGTTATAAGAGAACCTAATCTGACCTTAACTTTCCTGCCTGGGTGTGTTTTGTGCAAGTTAAGAGACAGGAATTCACTGCTGAAAACATATCTCATATTATAAAGAAGCCGCAAACCACTATTTATTGTAATGTGAAAACCCATTGCAATGAATTAAAGTAAATAAATACAATTTAAAAACTGCTGGTAAATATATCTGTTTTCAATTCCACAGAGAGAACAGAACATATTAAAGTGACGTAGAAGAATGGAATGAATTTGAATGATGTTTGTATTAATTAGTAATTGGCTAAGAAAACCTTTTAGGTTTTAATAGTCGGTCCAGTTATCCAGACAGTAGAGCAACAACTGATGCTATCAGTGTAAAAGGTGGCCAGTCAGACTCGTTTCTCTGAAAAAATGTTTGGCTTTGAGTTGTTTGGCACAAGATGGTAGACTAAGCATGTTGAATAACTGAGGTTTTCAGGTAGTCACTTTCTCCTTCAAACCTCCTGACACTGTCTGCTGTCCTCTGTTCCTGTCACAGCTAAACCTGGCGGTCGTGTCAGGTGTCAGTACTTTCCAGCAGTGGACAAGGTGCTTTTTGTGGACGACTATGCAGTGGGATGCAGGAAGGACTTGAACGGCATCCTGCTCCTGGACACAGCTCTCCAGCCTCCAGTGGCCAAGCCCGAGGATATGGTTCAGCTGGAGCTGCCGGTCACAGAGGTAAGAGAGGAAGCTCCGTACAGAGATGCTTGTCGCCTGATATTTGCCTGGATAGATGTGTTTACACTAAGCCTTTTGTTCAGTGGAATAAACTGCTCAATCTGGATATATGAAAGGCTCAGCAGGTTCAAATTCTCCCTCGCATTACTTTTACCTTAACCTTCCTCACGCTCACCCACTCTATTTGAATAACTGCAGCGGTAAAAGAGTGTAGCGTATAGCCCAGTATTAAACCAATAATGGTGTCAAAAATGCTCATTGTTGAAAGAAATAAGTGACTGTGTATAGTTATTGCTCAGGTTTGACCACATACAGTATTCATCCAAATCCCTATACAGCTCCAAGATAGGCAACTCCTTTTTATCAAAGGGGGTACTAACTTTGTCTTTTTGGAAAGGACTGCTAAACTCTATTATCCAAAAATATTATTCCACTCTGTGGTAACTCACACACATACAGAAAGCCAGAATGTTACATCAATAAACTGTCAAAATGTCTCCGCTTGTGGGGGGTGGTCCAGTGTTAGAAACATCAGGAGCAAATATTGGATGAAATTCAGGGTTGACTAATGAATGTAGCATTAGGCTAATGCCTAGATGGTGTGGGCTTCTACTAGCTCATGTTTTCTGTTATGATTTGAGCTAAATGCAACTTGTTTGTAATGTGGCAACAGCTAATAACTTTTGCTACCTCAGCAATTAACTAATATTAGGGACACAAAACCAATTTTTTTTCCAGAAGCCCAGGAGGATAAAATGCTCCCAGACAGGATGTGACTTATGCCAATGAGGTTTATCAACAATGTTTCGACACTTTGACATGATTTGTATTGTAAATAACTAAAGCCCTGCTCGTGTCAGTGGACTCGCTAAATATCGCCTGGCATCAAGAAAAGAAACTCACGCAGTTCAGCACCGCTGCTGGAAAAAGTCCTTTAGGAATCACTGGACATCTCATCTGCTTTCATCTCTCTTCAGCTGGCAGCTCAACTGCTTTTGATAAAATGAGAGTTCATTTACCTTCAGTGATTTGACTTGAACTAGTTGTTCAATTGATTTTAGCACTTTCCTGAAACTAAAGCTCACTGCAGTGACAGACATTCAACACACATTACACATGTTAACTGTTTTCATTCAATATTCATATGGGTACCTGATAGTGGTACCGTGAGGCGTGATAGTGGTACCGTGAGGCGTGACGGATCGATCCGTGATCGATCCGTCACGCCTCACGGTTCGGGATCACGCCTCACGGTTCGGGATCACGCCTCACGGTTCGGCACACTTGTGAACCGCGGATCAATTGAGGTTTTTTTGCAATTTGTTTTTTTTACAGTTTAATAATCATAGTGTGTAATAAAGTGTTACTGCTGCTGTTCCCTTTCAAGTAACAAGTCCCCAAATATCAATGCAAAGTGTCAGTGAACAGATGTAAAGCAGTAGTGTGTTCACGTGAACAGAGCAGGTTAGAAGCATTTAACTGTGAAAGTCATGGTGAGCGGAGGAGCTTCAGAAGCCCCCGGCGTCATTTAAGTCGCAGGTTTGGAAGCATTTTGTCTTCCCTGTAACATATGACGGGATGAGGGCGGTGGACAAAAACGTTACTGTATGTAGGCGTTGTTTAAAGAGAGACGTATGACAACGGCTGACTGTGACGGCTCACTTCATCACGGCGGAGTGGAGATTCATAGTCTGGTGCTGTAGACACGCCCCCCTCTGTTAGAGTCACACAGACACACACCTGGCGCAGGTGCTGACAGAAGCAGCAGAGTGGAAGCTAGACAGGCCCAATAATATCCCAGTCACCACAGAAAGGTCTACCCTCTCCCCAGACAATGGAGATATGTATATATAAAAAAATGTAAAGTTGTAGACCATTTCACAGTAATGGTAAACATTCCAAGTTTATTGCATTGTATTTGAATGACATAACCTGACAGGAAGTAAACATAGACCCAAGTTGTTGCCGAGCAGTTCAGTTCAGTTGAAATATTTTTGTTTTCATGTAAGACTATAGCCCAAAGTTCTTTGCTTTAAGTGTTCTTGAAGTTCTTTAATTAATAAATGGAAAGCAAAGTTATTTGTCTCCTCCCCTTTTGTTTGCTTATCCGAAAAATGATCCGAACGGTGACTCAAGTACCGAACTGTGAGGTTTGTGATCCGTTGCACCCAGAGTACCTGAGTATTGTTTTTAAACTTGGAAAAAATGTGGACCTTTAACACTTTGGTTAGACCTTTCTTTCATTCAGGCAAGAAATAGTGAATGTGGACATACCCGTGTTTATTTACAGGAAAAGCAGGGGAATATATTGTAACCATTACAAAACATGTTGTGGTTCCGTCACATGCAGATGCTCAATAAAGTGTTTCACTCTTATATGTATGCATGTCTGTGTGGCCTGCTACCCAAGTTGTTTGTTGGAGTCTCTAGTTAGTTTAGTTGTTGCCGACTACAGGCACTAATGTAAAGTCACGTTATCATGCATCAGATGGTTAAAAACCCATACGACCGTTCATATGTGATGAAGGCAGTCCCAATGCCTGACCCAGGCAGTGAGAACTATAACTAATATGTGAGTTTGTGTGTGTTTTTAGGCCCAGCAGATGCTGTCAGCCTGTCAGGAGAAGATTGATGTGTCTAACACAGAGGGCTATGAACTCTTTATCACCCAGCTCAAAGAAGGTCTGAAGAATACCTCACACGAGACGGCAGCCAATCACAAAGTGGCAAAGGTTAGTCTGACAACCTTTCGAAAGGGGATTTTGTTTTATTGTTACATCCTGTAATAATATATGCTCACGTTTTGTCCTCGTAGCAACATATTAGCATTTTTTTAAATTTAGCTGTTAGTCACACTTTGAAGTGGAGAGCAATGTTTCAGTGTATGGGATGTCACATGAGAAGATCATGTGAGAGGAGCCAGTCAAAAGACTAGAAAAGGTTCCCCCACTCATTCAGAGTACTGGATTATACTATGTCTTTGTTTTTTCTGTTCCCCATCAGTGCTGTTACTTCTAACCGCATTTGGGAAAAATAAGAGCAGCATTGTAGGTTAGGGTCCTAACGGTGGACACAATAACATGAACACTTGTACAGTATAATCCAGTGCAGTAGCTTTAAGGCTACGACGATCACTGGAAGTAGTATCGACCGATAAGGATTACGATGTCTTCTTGAAGCCTTCTATTTATCCTGTCGCATTATATATATATATATTTAACTATTGATGAGGTAAGTCTTTATTTGGATAATCCTCCTACTAATAATTTATAGATTATTTGTAACATTTCAACATCTTATTAGTTGAGACTCAACAATTTGACTTTCACTTTGTCTGTAGATGTTTAACAGACTTTATGGAGTATATGTGACAGTTCACAAACATACCTTGAACAACTCCCTCAACCTGAAGCCAGGTTTAACTTCAGTAAAGTCATTTCAGCGGCGCATAGACAAATGATCTGGTGTGTTTTGTGTCATTAGATCGTCTCTTCTGATCGGCCTTTAGAGACCACAGATCAAACTATTCAGAACAAATAGTTTATACACTGTTTATTTGTTGATGCAACGCAGAGGGCCTTAGATAAATCACAATTGTGTCATGAAGCGGTATTTGATCCATTTGTATTTTTAAAATCATTTACCTCAAAATCGTAATGTTCCTAAATCAAAAAAAACGTTTCCAAATCAAGCACAGAAAAGGAAACGTATCGCCCTGTGTCCTTTCCTATCAGGGTCTTACCTTGATTAATGGCTAGTAAGTCATGACGGGGAGCTCTGTGACTGATTTTAATTGTGTGGATTAACTTGCCAATACGACTGAACAAGGCTACATTCTGAAGTTTCATTGAAACAAACCAATCTGATGAAGTGAGTAGTGATCAGAGGGCCTTACTGCGATCGTCCCAGTTGGCCACCTGGCTGTAAACAACCTCAAATTGAAGTTGTTAATCGACATTTTAATCTTACAATCACTGTTTCATTGAAAGTATGTGCTTGAGGACTGAGACGACACAAAACGTGTGTGGGTTTTTTTTTTTTTGTTTTTTTTTTTGTTTTTTTTTTTTAAAATTTAATTTATTTTTTGCTGCTGATACCAATTTCTGATCATCAAAGATCCATATTAGTATGATCCTTTTTGCTATTTTGTTCTAGCAGCTGGTCCAGACTATTATTTTATTTTCACCTCTGTCCCAAATTAGTTTGCTCTAAAGACAGTGTAAACCATCAATAGTTGTTCATGTTATCCTTTTACTTTGTCAAAGACATCTATAGTGGTTATTAACATAAAAACTAGGGATGCACTGATTGTGAAATTCGAGGTCGAAACCAATTTTAATAATAAGTTGTCCGATTACTGATGATGCTCTGTACTTGTTATTTATTCCCCTTTTGTGCCAGGGAAACGAAAACATCTTCATACAAAAATGACTTGTTTTAAACTCATTACACTGTCTTTGTATGAGCACAAATTCAACAATACAAATGTATGACTCAATCTTTGATATAACCTTTCACATGAGTAAGATTCTTTTAGAGACGAGACGACTACCTACTCAATGAGAAGAACCTTTCAATATGTAGTCCAACAAAAGTATGTTTTGTGAAATAAATTATATGTAATTCAATATAAATGTAAAAGTGTTTAGAAACAAAGGCAGTGTTTCACACATACAGACGTGGATGGGCCAGCCAGGTATGTTAACGGCCACCCAGGTATATTTGGCAACCCATTTTAGCACTTTTCATTTCTTTATCCGTCTGAGAGCGACGGCATCCGTGATCAATTACCTTTAGTGGGCTGAACGCAGAACGCACTGCGGTGAGAACTGCAATGGAAAACCCATTATTTCCAATGTGCGGTGCCACAATGGCTTTTCGCTGCGCTAAAAGTTAATTTGGGTTGAACTTTAAGAAACGTGTCATGTGTGAAAGGTCATTTAGATTATTTGCTCAAATATTGTTGTTATTACCCATGCCAACTGTGTAGCCTTGTTTTTTGTCAAAATAACCTAATGAATATAGCATTTTTATCTACCCCACTGTACCAGATGTACTCAACTGTTACTCCAAAACTGTTAGATTTGAATTGGGGCTATTGCTTACATAACAGTCCTAAAAAACTATAACAAAATTAATCTAAATGTCCCTTTTAGCTCCCCGTCCCCACTAAGCAACATTTTTCACACTCAAAACTGAGCTTTCGAGTGGATAAACATGAAATTTACCAAAATAATGTTATGTTTCTTACTTTGGGGTGTTGCGCAAAAATGAAGAAATTAACATGGTTAATCATATAATTTTGTCTTCTTGACTTGATTTTCTATCAATACAATTATTCATTGCTGCAGACGGTTCCTTCTTGCAGCTACATTACTGTGTAATGAGAACACTATCTTGCCATCATGTATTGAAATGAACTTGTACCAGTGTCTGCTTTAGAAAATTGACAATTTGATGTATGGCCCGATCTCTGTCTGATCTACTTTTTCTTTTGCTATCCTAAAACTCACCTCTCTCGCCACTCTCTGTGATCTCCTTTATTCTTTCAGTGGGCGACAGTGACCTTCCATCTTCCCCACCACATGCTGAAGCTGGTGGCCGGGGCCATAGTCAATGAGCTGAAGAAGATAAACCAGAACGTAGCTGCCTTGTCTGTGGCCTCATCCATCATGGACAGGCTCTCCTACCTCTTGTCAAGCGCCAGGCCTGAGCTTGGGGTGGGCCCCGGGCGCTCTGTAGATAGGTGAGCAAGCAGGGAACAGATACACCTCTTCAGGGAGTTGGTGGTTTTTAAGCATCAGCGTGACACATGTAGGTTTACCTGCAAGACCACAGAGGAGATGATCAGTTCTACACCAGCATGCAATTAGTTTGTCTTTCAGTATGAAAGGCCTCCCCACTCTTCTCTCCTCATAGCATCATTTGTTTTCCTAAAGTGGATAACACCTAGTATGTTGTGGCACAGGAATTACTCGTGCAGCTCATAGACATGTTCCAATGAGCAAGGTTCACTCCAGGTTAAAAAGGTTCATGCATGCAACACATCTTTACTGTTAATGTAATAGTTTAAGTGCATTGACTACCAATTTGTGCTCTCAAATTATTGAGCCTGCACAAATGACTAAATTGCACTCTGTGACCACTTTGTCACTATGTTACCGACGTTACTGCGAGGCATAAATAAACCGTGAAAGTTGTGAGGCCATGGACTGTCAAAATGAGCCGCTTGGATTAACTGCAGTTTTGATTAGTATTCAGCCCGTTTGCCTGTTAAACAATGTTATATCAATGTAACACTAAAATATTTTAAATGTTCCTCCATTCCAATCTATTTACATATTTATATTGTATACCGCTTTCATCAAAATAGGCGACCCACGCCAAATCTGTAGATGAGCCGTCCTGAGCCGAGCCGCGCTGCTCACAGTCCACGTGTCTTTTGTACAGTACTGGTCCAACAGAGTCTACGATGTGTATTTTAAAATCCAGGCCCGGATATTAGTTTGTTCCTCAGGAAAATCTAAAGTTACTGCATTTCTTTGCCCTGGCGTTCAAATATAAAGTCACCCTCGGCTCAAAATCAAACCTCTGCATGTCCTTCTTTTGGGAGTGGGAGTTTTTATAAACAAAATTGTGATTCATTTACAAAAGTTCCATGCTACACGTGTAACCAAACATATATACAAACAAACGGTTAACTTAGCGTAACTGCATAAAGTCAACTCATCATAAAGTAACTTAATCACGTGCACACAGCTACACACTGATGTTCCTTTCTCCCCCTGTTCAGTCAAAGTCATCTCCTTATATAGAGCCTTCTATCAGCAGGATCTAGTTCCTGCCATGAGTGCAGGTGACACCAATTACTGACTCCAATACTTAACAGACAAAAGCTATACCTTACAGCATCCCTTTAGGTAGCCAACAATTTTACATACTCTACTCCCCCCCCCCC